GGCATATTTACCAAGATCAGGTCAAAGTATATATATATATATATATATATATATATATATATATATATATATATATATATGTATATTACCCCTGTACAACAGGGCAGCATGAGCTTTTGATCAAACGCGGCGCTACGAAGCCAACTGGAAGACGCCGAAAATTTTTAACAGATGCATAACCGGATTGAAAGTAACTAAAAATATAAGTGTAACCAAAAATTTCTGAGTTCCGTCGCGAAACTTTCGACTGAAACAGTCGATTTCGAAAAATTTCTAGTGATCAAGTTCGCTTCGTTCGCCACAAACGGCAAACACCGAGCCAACGAAATACCCTCCGTGAGAAACAGCACGAAATTCCCTAGGAAAGGACCATTTGTCCGTGAGAGCCAGCGGGGAAACACAATTATCCCCCGTCTTAACCTAAAACGAGGACACCCCAAGGTTGATAAAACTTAATCAGCGACGCGGTCGGTTTAATAAAGCGTAAACGCGGCAGATAATAAACGTGAAATAATAGACGATGAAATCTGCAGAGAGAGAGAAAAAGAGAGAGAGAGAGAGAGAGAGAGAGAGAGAAATGCTGGAATGAAACGGTTTCCAGGCCATAGGCGGTACCGTGGCGCAGTTTTCAAAGGGGGATGTGGGAGGGAGGGGGAAACAATATAAAAATGACGCGGCGTAGCCGTGCCACGGGCGGGCGCCGTCTTTTCTTTTCCCGCCCTGTCCGTCCATTGTCTTCGGCTTCCCGTTGAACTTGTGCACATGACTCGTTTTCAAAAGATCGGCCCCGCGTCGCAGACGCGCGCCGAGGAAACCGGGGAGAAGGGCGAAATCGAAGGACAGCGGCATAATTTCACGGTGGATTATCGTTGGATTTATCACTGTTCGAGCTGTTCTGGTTTTTTGTTGTTGTTTTATTTTCGTTTCGCGTGGAATTTCCCTTTTTTTTCCCCTACGTCGAATTTGAATTTGGCGCTGCCATCAATTTAGCGTTGGTCAGTTGCCAACCGTGAAACGAGAAACTCACTGCACGCCAGTGACGTGTATCCAGTGTTAAGATTCGCAATCTGGACAAGGATAGCGTTGCGTTAAAAATTTTCGAAACTTCAACCCAATTAGTATGATTTTTGAGAGTTGATCCGGAATGTAAAATTATCGACTTTTGATCTATTTGACCAACTGGTCAGTTACCAATCGTGAAACGAGAAATTCACTGCACGTGAGTAATGTGCCTATTCAACGTTAAGAAAACGTTACGCGTCATTTTTATAAAATTTTTAAAATTTCCACAATCACACGAAACTTTCACCAAGATAATTTTTAAGAGCTGATCCACAACCAGTGGAGTTTTATCTAGATGTAAAATTATCGAAACTTTTCTCGACCTATTTTTTCAACGCTTCAATCCGTGTCTATCAAATTTTAACGAATCACTCCATCGATATCGCCGTAGTGAGAATAGGATTTCTCGACAAAGCCAATTTTTGAGAAAAAAAGCATTTCAAATTTCCCCGCTCGGTATATTTAATACTCACATTCATTTATTTAGTTTTTCGCCACTAAATACACGAGTATTTAACCACTTGCGCTGGAATGACGTGCCACGCGTATCGAGAACTTTTTGCCCTCAAAATTACGATGTATTCTCAGTTATAAGTACATGTAAGTGAAACAAAATAGGCGAAGCAAGTAATAAATTTATTACCTCTCAATAATTTCTGTCCGAAAGCGGCGAGTCATTAGCAGATACGGTTCGGTCACTCGTTATGGTCCGCAATCAGTTTGCCAGCGCAAACGGAGAGCTACGAGACACACGTGTCTCGGTGTTTCAATGTCTCTGACATACAGAAGAGACATCAGAGGAACACACGAGGTAAATAATAATAATCGTCGACAGTTGGTAGGACGATTTGGACGAGAAATCAATGGCGGAGTTGCACGCGTTTATTCGGTTTGGTCCCGTATCATCGAGTAGAATAGAAAATAATGGCAAGCTGCCGGATATTTGTGGGCGGGAGCGTGACAAATATATATGATAAAAGCCGAGCTGTTCCGCTCCGTATCGCGATATTGATTTATAAAGGGCCGATACATATACACGGGCCGTATATCCGAACTGTGTTTTCGATTTCCACGTAACGCGCGTTCACCGAAAATTTGATATTTCACTTGGAATATCAATAAGGATATTGAAATCCAAAAATGCGTGCGAATCCCGACGATTGTGCGTCGGCGAATAAATTCCACGCGGAAGAAAATATTTTGGAGAATTCTGTTTCTCCTGATGAAATGGCGGGAATAGGCTGGTTTCCTCGTTTCGGATTTCTCTTCCATTTCGAACGCGTTTCCAGTTTCACGATCTTCCGATTTTGGATTTGGCTTCGGGACGAGTTTCGTTTTCGCAATCTCCACAATTTTGGAACATCTATTTATTTCCAGTATTTCCAAATTCTGGAAAACATCGTCTCCTCGATTCTTTCCGCTTTCTCTCTCTCTCTCTCTCTCTCTCCGAGACTTTTAAAACTCCTCCCGTTTCGAATTTCTCGCGCGACGCATCGCGAATGAAAAATACAGCAGCCGCGAAGTTTCGAAAACCGCTGACAGAAAAATCCACAGTCTTGTCGCGGCAAAGTCCTTAAAACCACCGTTCGCCCACCGTTTTTTTTTTTCACGTAGTTCGTACAAGATACTTCTAAAATGATCCTCCGCCTCCTTGCGGGCCAGGTTGACAGATTAAAACTCTGCTAATTACTTGGCGAAACTCCGTTCCTCAACTTTCTCATTACCTGGGTGAAACGCGCTAAAATTACATCTGAGATTAAACAAGGGGGCCAATTCGGTTCCCAAGGAGACCGAATGCTCTGATCATCGTGCCGATACTAAATAAACATTGACCACGTGGTGTGTGGCAGGGCTGTGCAACTGAACCGTGCACGCGAGAGCACGTGACGTTAACCCGATTAATCCGATTTCACGGATGCAATCGTGCCCAAGCGGGTTCGACGAACGCAGCCAGTGTAAATTGAGCAGGGTAATTGGAGACACGCGGGGGGGTTATACGTCAAGCAATCGTCCTCTTGTTTACTACCCCACGAAACTTGGATTCTTATTGCTGAAGATGGCAACTTCGTTACGGCATCTCCGTAATTTTGGTAATTTCGTCAAATTCGATAGAAGTTTTTCTCGAATTTTCAGAATCTCATCATTTTGGGCTTTTCCAACTTTTACACTTGCACAGAGAAAGAATTTCCAATTTCGAATCTTCTGCGTAGAAGACTTCCGTGATTTTTGGACTTTCCAATTCAACAGAATTCTTTTTCTATTTTTTTCTAATTTTTAGAGCCTCCCATTCTGGATTTTTCCAACCTTTAAACTTGCAGAGAAAGAATTTCCAATTTCGAATCTTTTGCGTAGACTTTCGTGACTTTTGAACTTCCCAATTCAACAGAATTCTTTTTGTGTGGTTTCTCTATTCTTTTTCTAATTTCTGGAGCCTCCCATTCCGGACTTTTCCAAACTTTAAACTTGCAGAGAAAGAATTTCCAATTTCGAGTCTTCTGCGTAGACTTTCGTGATTTTTGGACTTTCCAATTCAACAGAATTCTTTTTTCTATTTTTTTCTAATTTTTGGAGCCTCCCATTCTGGATTTTTCCAACCTTTAAACTTGCAGAGAAAGAATTTCCAATTTCGAATCTTCTGCGTAGACTTTCGTGACTTTTGAACTTCCCAATTCAACAGAATTCTTTTTGTGTGGTTTCTCTATTCTTTTTCTAATTTCTGGAGCCTCCCATTCCGGACTTTTCCAAACTTTAAACTTGCAGAGAAAGAATTTCCAATTTCGAGTCTTCTGCGTAGACTTTCGTAATTTTTGAACTTTCCAATTCAACAGAATTCTTTCTGTCTAATTTCTCTAATTTTTAAAACCTCTCATTTTGGACTTTTCCAATCTTCGAACTTGCAGAGGAAGAATTTCCAAATCAATCAGTGTCTATCGGAGTGGCCCAATGACAAAAAGCATTAGCCAGATTGACAAAATTTGGATCCTATAATTTCGTTTCTGTATAACGTCGTTTAATAGAACTTGAACGGTCGACACCATCAAAGAGAGAATTCGTGGTATGATCGACGGTGGTGTGAAAGAACAAAGAAAGTCTGCCAAACCAATGCGCCAGCGTTAATTTACCGTTCTAAACATTAATTAAATTTTTCGGCTGAGGTTTGAAAAGAAAACTACAAGCTCCTTTCCTTCCCCCCCGGGGGGAGGAACTGGGATTTCCTTTGTGCCCGGTAATTTTGTTTGCCGTGCTGGGTTTGCGGTCTCTCGTTAGTCGTTAAGAATCAAAGGGGGAGAACTTAAAGAAACTGATCACCGGTTAAACTAAACGTTGAAACCTTGTTATTTTCTTAGGAACAATGACAGAGGTCCTCGAGAACATAGATTCGTCAAGAACCAGATAGAATTTAATACTCAAAGTTGTTATTTTCGAACCAGTCTAAGTCTAGACTGTGACAATTTCAACGTACGTTGGTTGCGAATTATAAATCCACGATCATTTTTTTCTTGACTCGTAACTGTCACCAGTTTGGGAACCAAAAACAAATCACGTTCACAATTGTCTTCACAATTTGGTCAAAAATTTAATCGCCAGAAATCCCAGGAGAATTGCAAGAAAATCAAACAAAATTTCAACTCTGCTGATTGGACTGCTCAGGCTGTGGATTTCAATGAAAATTCTCGTTTCTGGAAATACAATTAAAAAAAAAAAAGAAAACTAGAACTTGACAGAGATTTGTCACGTTTTCGCAACATCTTCACTTTTCATTTTCAATAGTTTACAAATGTAATCTAATAATCCACAGTCTCAGAGCTGCCTCAATCTCGCAACTCGAACCCATCCACGATGAGTCCCTGTGTTTCCATAGCGAGGCAAGCAAGTGGCATGCAACCCTCGGGAGGGAGAGGGTTAGGTTTCGAACGATGCTTTTCTTGGTTACTCACTTTTCTGCGGCCGCAGCAGAGCATGGCTGCTGCGCTGCAGCTGCGGCGAGCCGTCGACGAGAGTTGAGGCTGATGACAGACGTAGCTGAGTCGTGCGCCCCCTTCCCGCTGCAGCTGCACCACGCGCACCTGCAGCTGCACCTGCTCCCGCTCCCGCTGCCCTTGACCGACACCGACTCGACCACCGTACTTGATGCGCACGTGTTTTCGCCACTGCATGAGTTCGGTGCGTCATGCCCTCTTCCTGAAATTCGACTGCCGATTAGTGGAAAGAAGCGGGAGTCGGGGGGAGTGGAAATTCGCCAAATTCGGCAGGAGAAAAGAATTTCGCGAACTAGAGACTATCTTCTGAGACTAGAGACTTTTATGGATATTTCTCAGAAACTGCCCGACAAAAAAATCGTGAAACGATTTTCGAATCTCGACAATTTCCATATTCTGGTGAAAATTCTGAAAATTCGCGCGAAAATTTGCCGGTAAATCAGCTTCTTCTGGAGAAGCGGGAAACCTGACCGCAAGAATTAATTAATGGGCGACGAGGGGCGAAGGGTGAAATGGATGGGACGGGGAATTTCGGAATCTTCGTACACCCTCGGCACCCACCGACGACAACACACAACGCTATCAAAAGCAATCACCGTTACGTAACACGTCGTAGCTAAAAGGCTTCCAAGCAAGGGCTGTTGCGCCGTACGGCTAATGCACTTTGTTAGCAAAGCAGCCCCGTAGTAGTCGCAAATTTTTGTCGATGCTAAGGATGCCAGGAGTCGCCCTCTCACCCCCTTTCTTACCCCCTTGGGAAAGCAGGACAGATCGATCGATACGTACGTACCATGGGGGAGGGAGGGAGGGAGGCTGTATGCCCCTGCCACATACCATATAATCTTTGCCACACACTCTGGGCATCCTGAAGCCTGACACCTATGAGCAACCATACACCATCGCCTGCTTGGAAACTTTTAACATAACCCTCGGTCAGTGCTGTCATTCTCCCCTTACGGCGCCTTTAACGGCGCATTTTTGCAGAAATTATGGCGTACTGTCTTTAACTTTCAACGAGCATATCCTTTCCAAGAATCCTGAATCATTTTCACTGTTGATTCACCGAGTCAATTCGACTGACATCAAATTTGAGAATTTCTTAATCTTCGTCGTTTTTGAAATACTCGAACTTTTAAGATCTCCTTCCCTAATTTTTTTTTGGAATGTTCCTGCTTTCGACCAACTGAATCATTTTCGTGCGTGCGAAACGATAGATTCACTGACGATCAATCAACTTGATTTTGGAATTTCTTAATTTTCATCATTCTTACGTTTTTGAACTACTGAAAGTGTCAACATCTCCCGGATTAATTCCATCGTACTTGTATAAATTTCCAATTGTTATATAATACTTATATTCTCCAATTTTTCGGAACGTTCAAACTTCCACCGGTTCCAAACCAGATTTCGAGTTCTTAATTCTCTTCACGTCCAGAACTTTTTGTCCCAAAATTGCAATATTTCCACAGTTTTCAGTATATTCAAGTATAACCCAGACGAAACAAATAAAACATTTATTACCTCTCGATAATTTCTATCTATTTTGATATCATACCGACACGAGAGAGTTCAAAAAGAAAGCAACGAATTATTGTATATACGATTTTGGTCACTCGTTACGGTCCGCAATCAGTTAGTCGTTAAATCAGAGCAAAAAAAAAAAAAAAGAACGCCCGATAAACAAAATTCCCTAGGCGGCCGAGGCGTCAATTGGGAACAACGTGCCATCACGCACGCGGAAAAACCGCGATTAATTAATGAGCCTGGATTTAATCAGGTCTGCAGCGCCACGTTATTAAAAATTCATCTGAACCCGGCTGGAAAGGGAGAGGAACGTGTAAGTGTCGAAACGCCTCGATAATCGATCGGAGAACCTCAGCGCGGGCGACGTTTATTTTCGGGAGGCAGGTACGCAGAAGAACGAAGAAGATACCCGCTGGGAGGGAATGTAGAACGAGGCCGCCAGCATATCGCGTGCCAAATTAAAATCGCTCGATCATCTGGGATGGATCCTCTCGCCATTAATAAATTAACACGCCCTGATATCGACTGGATCGCTGCTGGATGAAGTTATTAGGTCACTCTCTCCCCGTGTGTCTGATACTCCCCCTGGCATATTTCTTCTGATATCGCCATCCCGTTGGAATTCTCTATAAATCACACGACATTAATCTCGGTAAATACACCCGGTAAAATTCCGCGTGACGCCGTGTGATTATCATCACTGTACCTAATGCCCCATGTCTTTTTTTGATCCCAAGTCCTATTAACCTCTTGCGCTGGATTGACGTGGCCACGCACGTCGAGATTTTTTTTTTTTTTGTCCCTAGAATTGCAATGTTTCAGAATCCTCAGTTTTAAGTATATTTAAGTATAACCCGGGCAAAGTAAATAATAAATTTATTACTTCTCAGTAATTTCTATCCGGGCGATACGAGTTCGGAAAGAAAGCGACGAATTATCGTGTACGGTTTGGTCACTCGTTATGGTCCGCAATCAGTTGCAAATTGGTTAATAAACTGGCGTGTGTCTTCGAGTTCTACGTGCACATGCTTCAGAGTTATCTCTTTATTAACTCTGCAAAACTAGTCCTCCTTGATTCTAATTTAACTCGGACGATGGTTTAACTCTTTGAAAGACATAAAAAAAAAAAAAAAAAAAAATCGTTCAAACAGTTGCAAACAAATCGTATCCAATTGAAGGGAAAGAGACCGTGTCTCGAACCCTAACCTAGCCTAATCACCGTTCTGAACGAGCGTCAGAAAGAGATCGGTACGACGTGCAACCGCAGGATGGATGGATATATTTCAATCATCAGGTGGGCAAGGGCCGAAACAAAACGCCTCCGTGCTTTCAGCTCTCTTTACGGTAGCCGAGTAATCGATCGCACGTGGCTGTGCGCAATCACAGTTGACCTAGGGCCACCGAGAATTATGCCAGGAATCTCATAACCGACGTCCATCACCGACCGAATGTCTCGGTCTTCAATTCAATCGTGGGGGAGGGGGAGGAGAGAGGGTGGGAGGAGATTTGTACTATTCATACGACAGATTCTGTGTCAAGCTCGCGTTAGCTCATTAAGAATCAATGAAATCCTCAACCGCGTGCGGCTGTCGGTGGTATAACCTTGACCCGGCTCCTTCCTTTCATGGACTCTCCCCTAGAAAGGAGGCTGGCCTCCTTCCTGCGTGCATGGGGGAGTCTAATTCGTCGAGTAATCTCGATTAGGGTAGAGAAAGGAGATGACAATTCGCGAAAGATTGAGCAAAATTATTAGTTCTAGAAGAAGGGATCACTCTCGCGATGACACTGCAACGAGGAGAAATCTTTTGGTTGCTCGTGGCATCTCCACGAAGATATAATCCTCAAGTATCTTTATGGCAGTTGGATTACAGATAATACTCTAACAATTCATGTCAGATCATGGAAATTTAGATTATTTAATTGTACAGTGTTTTGCAACTTTTTCAATATCTTCGACGTTTAAAAAATTTAATATAGAAAGAAGAAAGAAGGAACTGTAATTTTAGGGGAGAGAGGATAGCTTTTAGCCACTTGCGCTGGCAACTGATTGCGGACCGTAACGAGTGACCAAATTGTATACAACAATTCGTCGCTTTCTTTCTTTTAGAACTGGATCGGTATGATGTCACTGGATAGAAATTACTGAGAAGTAGTAAATTCGTCACTTGTCTTTGCCTATTTTGTTTTACTTAAATATACTTAAGGCTGAGAGAATATTACAAATGTGAAAATGTTGCAACAAAAAATTCTCGACGTGCGTGGCAAGAGGTTAAACAATTTTTGGTTCACTTACTAAGATTGCAAACTTATTCCCTGTGCTATTTTTGGGCAGGTGAGAGAAAGAAAAGGGATGGAAGTTACATAGAATTTCGTACGGCCTCTCCCGATGCGCCGGGAGTTTTTGAGTTTACTCTAGCTAGTGGAAGTTCTTCTTATTAGTCTATTACATCCCCGTGCAGCTTGATACAAGCTTATAAACAACGTCGCTACGCTCCTCGAGTGGACAGCCAATCGGCCCCTGGCGGTGCTTCTCTGCCAGTGGAACGTTTTTCTAGAGGAAATGCGCGCAGCATAATGATAATGATGCACGTGCAAGGGTAAACTGTCATATTCCCCCAAAGGACTTCCTCCTGCTATCACGAAGCGCCATCGTTCATGCAATCTCCTGGACTGGAGAGTCCACCTCCGAATTAACAACTCCCAAATTTCTAAAAACCTCTCCTAACTTCCAACTCTAATTCCGTATACATCCTAAATTAAAAACAGACAGATTATAAATATTTCCTTGAAAAAGAAAGAGAGAGAGAAAAGAAGAGAAGAGGTTACAGGACAGTTAGCTATGTTAAAACATAGTATTAGAGTGTCTACTGAGACGCTAAAAAACACTAAATACAGATTGCAAGAGTCCAAAATCGAAACGGGTCTCGCGGATTACTCGATATAGATAAGAATTTCGATCGTCGTTTCTCGACGACTGAACCGGACCACGTTTCGTTAGACGCTTGCTATCAAAGTGAAGTCAGAATGCAAACGAAACGGTTGTTTAATTGATTATTCGAAGCACGAGCAGGATCTGTAACGCTCGTCTGGCGGACAGAAAATATCGCGTTGAATTGCAAAGAAGAGAGGAGGTGGGGAACATGAGCTGATGGCATGCCATGCAGATTCACTCGTATTTCCAGAGTAATTTCCAGCCTATGTACATAATTCTCTGGGCACACTTAGAAGGAGAGTTTCTCGCGATGTCATTCGAATGACAGAGGCACATACACGCGTGGTACATGTATATAATGGCGTGTTGGAATTGATACCTTCTAAAAATCATTTCTCGTGCGAAGGGCCGTCGGGTCCCTGCTCGAGTAGACCTGAGTCACTTCTCTCATTCTGGTCCACCGATTATCCACTCGCGCTCTCCTGAAACAAAATCGAGACAACCGCGTTAGCACGCGAGAGATATACTCGGTGAGATTTTTAATTTAGTCGCGTCAGTGACGAGATAATAAATAATACTTATTTCAAGTCGCAAACTTTGAAATTTAAATGTTCTATTTTGTACCTTGTGTTGAAAATGTAAATAATATTTAGTTGCGCATTAAGAATGTTACGTAAATGTGATATTGTTTCTGAGTGACGAGGCTTTAAAGACGCAACTGTTGGAGAGCAATCCGCCATACACCGAAACCCCACGAAACCGAGCGTCACGGCAACGTGTATAACGGGGTTGCTCGTCAACAGCCCCATCGAGAAACCACTATACAAAGAATCGTGCTATGAAATCTCTAAAACTAAGGAAAATTTGTGGAAAATATGAGATAAGAGTGCAAATATGGAAGACATCCAAAGTTCATCAAAAAATCCGAATTTCCGTGAAAAATAAAACTTTCTACTTTTGTGGAAACTCTTTTTAAAAGATTCGTGGCAAAAATATTGATCCAGTCTTTCCGTTTTATGATCAATTGAACGTGCTTTCTTCTGAGTGAGAGAAATAGAGAGAGAAGAATTTAAATTTGAATTCTTGAAAGAATCGATGAACGTTAAAGCTCCTACGTGAAAATTCGAAAATTTGCGTAGACGTTTGGCTTCGACAGGCAAAGAGCAAAGCTTCCCGGACACTTGACTCTGCAGACATCTCCATCGGGAAACGTCAGCGTTTAAGCAAAGCAGCTTTCAATATTAGATAAAGCTCGAGGGGCACTGTCCTTTTGATCACTCAACAATTGCAAGCTGTTTTGTATAATTTATCTAAAACAAACACACAAACACACACGCCAAATAGATTTAAATATTTCGATCGCTTTTATTATTCGAAAATAATATTGAAGTTCTTAAAACCCTATCAGCATCAAAAATCAATTTTTGCTTAATTTGTAAATTTATTTTTTCGTCTAATATATATATATATATATATATATATATCAATATTACTTTCTTTTAATATACCAAAGATTAGCTATATTTGATATTTTGATCATGACTTTTCAATAATCATCATTTCCTCCTCACCACGTGTAATTGTACACTTTTACACATTTTCATACTTTTCTGAATATAAAAATTCCAACTGCATAATTTACACGAACACTGATCCTGAATCCCCCACTGCATAAACTTCAATATCATAGCCTCTTTAATACCCTTGATCAATTCCACAAATCAAATTCGATATCACAATCCCCCCACCGTTTCATACTGTTCAAATACTCAAGCGCCGAATAATCAACTTGCAAAATTTCGAACACTCGAGCCCCTAATAGCTGCATGCTCGACTTCAACGACACAGATATATAAAGCCAACTGAAATCTCGAAAGCATCCAGTAATTTACCAAACAATTCAGGCAACTGATTCGAACGGCCTGATTCCCTGATCACAAACACCATCTACAAAGCGCTCGAACAATTCGCGCTGGTATCTCGCACAGAATCGGCGGAATTTTTGCGGCGAGGCACAACAGGCTCGTTACAGCGAGGAGGGAGAAAGGAGAGAGAGAGAGAGAGAGACAGAGAAAAAGTGAACTGAAAAAAAACTGTCCACGAGGAGGCACGCGAGATTAACTACACCGACTCACGCCAAGCGTAACTTAACAACGTCGTACACGCCACTTAACGCCCAACATCGCGGCACACGATTTTCGTTCTCCCGGCCGAGGACGAGGAAGGCGACGACGACGACTTCACGGGGGGACACGAGCGCGGTCTCAAACTGCGCGAGGACGTGTGTGTGCCGTCGTTAAATAAAAGGGGGTACCCACTACTGCGCAAAATCTTTGTCGTAAGGGCGGTTCGATCGCCGTTTGGTCCATGTGATATCAGTCACCTTCCGGATGATAACTCAATCGACTTCCTCTCTCTTTCTCACACACTTGCTTCGTCAAATTTCCACTATTCCAAAGGTATTTCCTCCTCCTGGTTCGTCCTTCGAACGACAAGCGTGCAGTTAACATTTGCCCAAAATATCTTGCGGGCAATTACTTTTACTTTAACCTCCTGCGCTGGAATGGCGTGCCATTTGTCCCCAAAATTGTAATATTTTCTCAGTTAAGTTGTCCCCAAAATTGTAATATTTCCTCAGTTTATATATAATATTATAATATTATAATCAGTTTATATATAATATCAGGTAATATTTAAGTGTTGTCCCTAAAATTTTATTTTCTCAGTTAAGTTGTCCCCAAAATTGTAATATTTCCTCAGTTTATATGTAATATTATAATATAAATCAGTTTATACATAATATCAGGTATATTTAAGTGTTGTAATATTTTCTCAGTCAAGTTGTCCCCAAAATTGTAATATTTTTTCAGTTAAGTTGTCTCCAAAATTGTAATATTTTCTCAGTTGTGTTGTCCCCAATGTTGTAATATTTTCTCAGTTTATGTATAATATCAGGTATATTTAACTGAAACAAAATAGGCTGAACAAGCAATAAATTTATTACTTTTCAATCATTTCTATCTAAAAGCGGCGAATTACTAGACACGATTCGGTCACTCGTTACGGTCCGCAATCAGTTGCCAGCGCAAGGCGGTTAAAGATAAGATATCTTCGTTTCGCTCAACATTCTGAAACTGTCGAGCAACTGTTGCTTGCTAAAAACAATACGTGAGAATTATTTAAAAGTATATACCTTTGAATGCCTTTTCTGTTTTTTTTTTTTTTTTTTTTTTCATTTATTCCTGAATTCATTAACCTGGCTGTTACTTGGTAATACGTGTTCCTTTCATGTTCGCCTCAAAACTTAATCATTCAGTGATTAACGTCCGTTCCAGAAACGTGGGACTTCAATTACTTCAATTACTTCAACATACGATCCTTTAAGACCCTTTATAGTAGTAACGCTCGCTCAAAATAATTGCACGAGAGTAGAAACTTCGCGTTTCACGTTGCGCGAAACGTCCTCGTTTTCAGATATTTAATGCGGCCGAAAAGTTGCGTGAGAGGATGTTTGAAACTTCTTCCGCATAAAGTCTCCCCCCTGTTCATTATTTATTTTGAGCAAAGTGCATTTGACATGAATAAACAAAGTCGCGACGCGGAACTCTGTTCCAGAACGAACGCGCGCGCACACATTCCCGCGGTAAGTACAGTTTCTTTCCGAAGCAGCTCGCAGCTATAAAAGGAAGAAGCTCCCCTCGGAGAATGGAAAGAAATTAGTGTCTATAAAACTCCCTAGGAATTAGCCGCGCACAGAGAATATTGTTTCGAGCGCTGATGCACTAAAGTTAGAACCTATACCGAACGCTACGCCCCGAGGAAAGAATTCGTCGACCATTCAACTGGTTCTTCTGAACTTCGTTACCATCGCTTTCCGTTTCACATTCTATCGATCTTGAAGACGCAAGAAGGGACTCTCGCAGCAAACGAAGAAGCACAAAGCCGGTCAAATCGAACCTGACTGACCAACCGGAGTCGAATCACTCCTCACACGATGAGGACGGATACCGCGATTGAACACCACCTTCAGATGATCTCTTCCGCTTTTGGAGACGAGGAGAGAAAAGATAGGAAGAATGCTCGCGACACCGGGGGTAACGTTGGAATTTTTATATTCTTATTGGAAGAGCCGGGGATAGGTATAACCGGTTTAACGATCCCATTATCTTCAAAGAAAGTTACAGAAGGTGGATAGTAAAAAGCTATTTATACGCTTCTCCGTGTTTCGCCCTAAGGGTGTCGTTATTCTAATTATGGATTTTCCCCGTGCAGAGGCCGGCTTAGGAATCACGACGTAAAAAGAAAAACGAGTCGCCAAAAAGGGTCTTCCTTAATATGTCGCGATAATGCAGAGCCGAGCGAAGCAGGTTCTATCTCCGTGCAAAATAAGAGAACAGGCCCAGTTATTTGGACTGGTACTTACGGTGCGATTAGCCGAACTTGCAAGACTTGCAAGATTATTGAAGAGTGTTAGGCGGTGGAAGAAGGAAACGAAACGACTCCGAGCGTGAAAAATAGATGCCAGTAGGGTCGATAAGGTGGCAATGGACGCAGAAGAAGCTCGTGGAGCGGAATTTCGGATCGTACGGCAACGTAGCTTGGCCTGGATCGATAAGGGATACGTTTAAGGGCGAGAGTAACAGGAGCATCGCAGCAGCCAGCAAGATCTTGCTCATTGTGTACCTTACTACGTCTATCGAACGACACCTGTCGCTATCCTTCCGACTAATACGCAGCAACGGGTCGCGTATCTTTTCGTTTAAAATGATAAGGAGGAAGAAGAAACGAACAAAGTAATGTACTTCCTAACCTCGAAATAAAAGACAAAATATATATATATATATATATATATATATATATATATGATATATATGAAACGAGCAAAAAGAGGCACAGAAGAGGAGACAAGAATGAATAAGAAAAGTAGGTAACAAAGAGAGCTGGTACAGTGGTATGGAACGACGTGAAAGAACATGGAAACACAAGCGGAAGAAAGAGTGAAGAAAGGGAAGAGGGTCGAGTGAAGCACGATTTCGTGGTGGCGTGCCAGAGCCAATGGTCCCGGACCAGTGGATCGATATACCCTTTTTCGAGAGTACCTTCAACCGACCCTCCCACGACTCGTACCAACATACACACAACATGTACCCGCACGCACGCACACACACGTAAACACACTTACACAACCCTCTTTCCTCCCTCTCGTCTGAAGAAAGACGCGCGTGTCGCCGACTCTCTCTCTCTCTCTCTCTCTCTCTCTCTCTCTCTCTCTTTCTCTCTCTTGAACAGCTCTCTCTTTACTGAATGAAATCAAAGTGACCACAGCCGGGGTCCACCCGGTTTGTCCGACCGGTCACAACGTACCTTTGCAGCGGCCGATGCGGACGGTGGCACGGAGCTAGCTCGAAAGCCAGGAAAGCTGGAACGTGGCTGGCACGGTCCGTCTCTCCCCTTTGACTTTTTCAGCGGGCAAGAAGGAAGCGGGCACGAGTCTTCCGGTTTGCAGCTTTCTCACTTCACCGTTATAAACGCCACGCGGGAATCAATACGCGCGCCTGCCTCAAGCTTCTCCCTCTCTCTTTCCCGCTCTCGTGTTTCACACTCCTCCAGTAAGCCTCTGGCTCTCCCTGTCTCTCCCTGTCTCTCGCCCGGCTCTCCCGCGATTCTCCACTCGAGCAGAGCAGCAGCCAGCTACTCCAACTGTCCCCCGTACGTTGTCGCGGCTCCGCACTCTACCCCGGAGCACCGCGGACCGCCTCGTGGCCACCGTCGTTTCCTCAATTGCGAGCCGTGTACCAAAAGCTAGATGATGCTAGCCGACCCACCACGAGGCGAACCACTCAACCGCCTGGCCCGGGTTTAGCCTTTGGTCGCCGATGGGAGGACACGCGTGTGTCTCGCGGACGTACGCAGTCACGGTAAACCGAGGATTCGCCTGACGACGGTGTGCAACGCACCGCGCCGCATAACCACGACTACCTAGAGTAGCCGGGCGGACATGTTGGTCGAGGGAACTGCGCACACGCGCCCCCGGCTCCTCTTCTTCTTGCGTACTCGCCGCGGCCCTCCAGACTACGCTGAATCAATTTTTCCGCCGGACCGAAGTCGATTTTCGAGTTCCTTTTTAGCCTCTTCTTCTTCTTCTTCTTCCTTTCATTCCGTTTTCTTCTTTTCCTTTTTCTTTTTTTTCTTTTCTTTTTATGTTTGGCTCGTTTGGAATTTCCTCCTCCGCGGGTTGCGAGAGTTCCGGAGATTGTCACCTCTAGCTGCGAAAATGTATTTCTAGTTAAAAAGCGTTCTTTCTTCTCTTACTCTTCTATTCTAATTGGAATTCTTTTTTTATTTTTTTAATTTTATTTTTTTTAAGACTGAGTATGAACGGACACGAACTTACAATATTGAGCAATGAAATTTCAGTCAAGTGACAGATACAAGGCGTTCCATGGATGATCCAATCGCAACTGATCTTCTCTTGTCTCTCATTTTTACCATTGCACGCTCGAAAATTCTGCTTCTCGATCGATTCAAATCAATGGACCTGAAGGCTACAGCATAAAGAGAGAAAATTCTGATTAGACATTGAAGATGTGGTGTTATCGCAGCGTAGATTAGTCGCTAATAGCAACTCGCTATGGTTATTTCGTCGGACTTAATAGGTTTATTGATTCTTCTGGATCTCGACCGAGTTGACCGAGAGGCTTTTTGATTTTTTTTTTTGTTCCCTGGCCCGATGCAACAGGTTATTTGAATGCTTCCTGCGAATTCTTTGTTTTTTTTTTCTGTTTTTCCTTTTTTTTTTTTTCGAACGATTCAGTTCTGTCTGTTCAAACAAAGGCTCGTATAGGTTCTTTGTACAGTGGAATACGATGACGCAGGACTCTTTATTTTTTATTTCCTTTTTTTTTTTGTTGCTCTTCCGCTGGTAATTAATGGAAGCATGGAATTAGGCTTCTCCAATTGGCCCATGGGGAAGCACGGAAACGCATTTAGTATCGAATATCAATTAATCTAACTGAATCTCCCCGGCTAACACATTTAAGCCATTGTCTTACATCGAGGCGGACTCGTAGCGCAAATTATGGTACAAACGTGAGAGCAGCGAGTCGCGTTCATAATACAAATAATGACAGTATATTTCGATAGAATTTCTTCCACGGTTATGTATCATTAAATTTGTCCGCATTGATTCGCAAAAGCATTTAAATAACTCGCTGTTACGAAACTTTTGTAAATATAATTTTTGTGAAAAATTTCATGAATGCTACAATGAACAAATATGCCTATATCTATCTTTACTTGTTAAATATTGCAACAAGTACTCTACTTTGTACATCTTACACCCAATGTATCCATATTTTCTGCACGCTTCGCATTTTGAAGTCTTCTTTAAAACGCATAAAAACTGACACTTTAATTTTACTATTCAAACACTTTTGTATTTAGGTGCAATAAATATCTCGTAGCTTTATGAATATTCCAGTTTTTATTTCACTGCGCCATGAAACTTCTTGGACGTAAATTTCACACACATATATATATATATATATATATAAAGTCCCTCGTTCCAATTATATCATGGAATCTTTGAGAGTCCAGGCTCGATCATCCAATGAACCTAAAAATGCATTAAAATGACATTTACATCCGCGTAATTGATTCCACTACTTTTAAATAAAAACTCACCCTCGTCTCATTTCACAGACGTAATGTAATATTTATTGAAATTAAGGGAGAGGAAGATGGTGGAGAAAAATTTTGTTCGCAGATGAGACCGCAAATACGTAGGCAATAATTCCATGTGAAAACCGAAATACAGACTCGGCTGGTAAATTGATTCTGTATACCACCGTGCGACGAGTCCTAGCTTCTTCTGCTTGTTCCAAGACTGTCGAACCACCCTCGCACGCAGACGTGGGAATTTTTCTTCTCTCCTTGCTCTCCTCCGCAGAAGGCGACGACAGTGACGGAGGAGCGTATGCATAGCGCTACATTGGCCTCGCCGCGACTTCTCCGAGTTTTATTAAATTTCTTTGCCACGCTGTAAATAGTCCCTCGTACGAAACGATGCTTATCGAGGCAGCAGGATAAGCAGAGCCAGCCTTAATCCGCTCCTCCTTATCTCCAACGGATGTCCTCGGTGCTCCCGTGCTCTGCAGGACGCTCCAATCGATGGGGCGACTCTTAAATTTCCTCCTGCTAGGTCCCTGAAACATATAATATCTTTCCGCAATGAGTTTTCGTGAGATGCTGCTGCACCTGTGGCACTCTTCGACGCGTTTAAACTTTTATTTTTCATTGAAAGTATCATCCGAAGATATTTTCGCGTGATTGCTGAATTTCGAATGAACAATTTAGGGGATAATAATAATAATTGCCGAGAAGGTACACGTCTTTTGACAAATATAGCAAACGTTTCAGTGACTTTGACTAGACAAGACTATGAATTAATAACGCGCTTTATTAATATAAGTCTGCTATAAATTAATATAAATTGATAACTGTATTAGTACATTATATTAAATAACTGCGTTAATATTTGCATCAATTTACAGTTTCGTCTTGTTAAAGTTCCCGCATCATTCAAATCTGTAAAAATCCACTGAACCAAGAGGCTAGTCTTCAAAGTCACAAGTTCCTTTAGAATTTTCCAGGTCCGATGGGTTCGAGGTGCCGAATTGCAGTATCGATAAATTGCGAAGGAAGGTTCTTCCGAACTGTTCGTCCCGGCGGGACGATTTCTCGACGGTCAGGGTCGGCTATTATGGTTTTCCTCGAAATCACGTCGTGTAATCACCGTATTTTACGAGCTGCCGCGAACTGCGGACTATTAGGTCGATACAGCCGCAAAACCTGGGGCCCACGCTACTTCTCAGACACGCTGATTGCCTCCTCCGTCTCTAATTTTCCCTCCCTCTCTCTCGCCGCCCCCGGGAGGGGATACAAGATCGCAATCAGCTGGCAATTGTCATACTACGCTGTCACAGAAATCGCTGAAAACATACTGAACCTAAACATAAAGAGGAACACGGTGGTTTGCGCCAGCAAGAGAGCTCCTAACGCAAAAACTAGCCTTGCCCTGCATTTGTGCCCCTCGTTCAGAAATTTTTCTTACTCGACAAGAGGTTCTGGCTTCCAAAATTAACTTCCACTGAATGCTACATCCTGGCGTAACAAAATGAAGAAACTTCTTTCCTATACGAGTGTAAAATTTAGAAAAGATCAGTCGATTGTTGGGAAACGTAAGTGATTTTGAGGAATGAATATTCAAACAGTTCACTTTGCAAGTAGCTTTTGTCATTTCTTGATAGGATTCATAGCTCACCATTCTTTTAATCAATCTTTTGGAAAGAACGTCAGATAATTTTCAGATACGTAAAACAAAAAAAAAAAAAAAAAACTGAACTGAAACTTTAAAATATTCGTCGATCTTTCAGTAACAGGTCAGATAATAACCAAGATAATTGCATAAAGATTACTTTGTCTTTCTCTTCAAACTTAACTGGACGTGTAAAAAAAAATTCCTGAGAAAAGTGTCTTGGTCACCAATTAACTTGATAACTGTTTATCTAAAATACGCCGGTTGAATTTGAATGAGAAAGAACAAGAAAATGATAAACTCTGAATTTCATCGAATTGCAACATATTTCTTCAATTTCGACGTTGAATTTCTTCGCGGATTCACAGTAAAAACGCGACCAAAATGGACACATTAATAACGGCAGGGAATCGTTGAAGAGTCGGACGTCCAATAAAATTCACCGTGAACAGCTTTCAAATTTATTCAGGTCCGAGGCTCGTCGCCGTGACGAGCAATTAAACGCAAAAACGGGTGGGAGATGCCTGGCGAAGCAAGGGGGACGACATGATCACCGAACAAGATCGATGAAAGTTACTTGTCTTTTAGCTCGGAGCTGTATCAGTTTCAACTGTGGACGCCGGAAAACCTGAACGTGAAACGAAATCCAGCCTTGATACCTGTTCCACTGACGCCTTTGACTACACCAACCATGAATTATCATTGAGATTGATATCCACCTGAAAATAATAAATTTACCATTTACTGTGGAATTTATCTTCTCTTGCTTTTCTTTCAATATTTCATCCTATAGTATATTTCATCCTATATTTTATCTACTGTAGAATGTTAATCCTCCACTCAGTTTAATACTTGATTAAATTAGACTGCAATCTCTCTATAAGAATTTTGAGATTATTTTTGAGATTTCTCCTTGTGAAACGATTTAGGAATTATTCAGATTTTTTATTGCAAGCAGATGACCTCAAAATATTCTATTTCATTCTCATATGATTGCCTTGAACTTTGAGCTGACTTGAACAACCTATTTGAATGGAATGGAATTCAACACTGAAATGTCCAAGTCCTGAGGTTTTCTGGAAACAGAGATCCTGCTCCCCTATACCTTCGGCGATGAATGTCTGGCATCCGTAATGGGGGCTCGTGATCTTGGCGTTTACATGACACCGACCACTATCCTTTGATACCCACGTAAATAACGTCGTACCTAAGTCATATCCGCAAATTTTATACGCGGAAATTACGTCGATTTCACAGATCATATATTTATACTCGCATCTCTCGGGGGAAAAAACACAAACTTCAAATTGAATTAATTCAACGCGTGCTTCTTAAATTCGTTGCTTGTTAACATCTTTCCAAAAGAACAAATTTCTTTTCTTCTCGCGACTCAACTGAATCGTGATAACAGTTACGTAATTGTAACTTTATAATTGTAACTTTATAATTCCGCCATTATATCGAAATTATAACATCAATTTTGCTGTTGATAGTTTTCTTCGTCGATTTAATAATTTATGAACAAAGTGAAAGAGGACGAGGATGGTCTATGAAAGAAGCTGATGGCTTCTAGATCCTCGTTCGATCAACGTCGACGATTCGTTTCTCTTTCAATTAATTCTTAAGTAGAAGAAACGCTTCTCCTCCCGTTGGATGAAAGTAATTCTCGCATAGAGGAAAGGGGGCGGGACGGGGCTGGCTATCTTATCGAGAAAATTCGTTCGAGTGATTCACAGCGAGAGGGCCCCCGGTCGTGATCCAAAGTTGAGTCGCTCTCTCTTCGTTGTCATTCCCATCGAGCCTAAACGTTCCACTTCCGGTTCGGCTGTTCTAGCCTGGATCGATTGGAGAGACCGCCTCGTGTCAAAAACACTCGGCAGAAAGACGTTGCCTCGTTGATTCGAGCCGGATCCTCTCTGCTGAACTCATAAATTTCAAAACGGTTTCCAATTCCGCAACTTTGAAATCTAAAAAAAGATCCTCGCAGTTTTATTGTACTCGTTTATAGATACATTTAATCTAATTAAAAAACTTTCTTAGTTAAATTCAACGAGAGAGTAATTTGGAGAAGAGTTGAACTGAAGAAAAGAGGGAAGGTGAAGATTAAAGATATGTGCGAATCACCAATTGACATTCACTAAATTACGTTGATTGAATTTTTAACTAAAATTATAATTACGACCAAGATACTTTGGTATTGAATATTTTTGCATTGTACAAATTTAGTTGATTCATTTTTCCATTTTCGTTTATTACTAAAGTATTCATTTGTTACTAAAGTGGATTGCTCTTCTTGAAGGAGCAGATCAAGTCCGAGGCACTTGAGATTAGTTTTGATAATTTTATAAAATTCTTCGAGTAGTTTCTTACTTTTATCATCTGAAGTGGCACTGTACCAGATAACAATTAAATCCAACACATTAATCTCCAACTTCAACTTTTACATTTCGAATTCTCTCATCTACCTTTCAGACCAATTTTAAATCAAGACTTTTAATTTTTTTTTTTTTTATATATTTTAAGTTTAAACTTTACCGAGCTAAACTCTTCGTTTTAGTGAAGCTCACAGTGCAAGAAGTAATAACAATTAATACAGAATAATATCCAATTTATCCTCAAGACGGTTTTTATCTTCAGTTTGCGTTAATCCGGCTCGTTAACGCAACAGAAACTCGCGAGGACTTAATAATTCCCGATGTATGCCGGCCCTGCTACTCGACCTGGAGTACGATGCTGTGATTGGACGGCATTTGAATGAATGCCATCCGGCATTCACACCTTTTTTCAACCCCTTCCTTTCAGCCGCGACCCCGTCCACCGTGAAACCCCTGATGTACTCGAGGGTTACGGTAGTTGACACGCGAGCAGTGTGAGCGTGTGCTTTCCACGTCACGCACACAAGCCACCAGGACCGTACCAATACTCCTTTTCAACCTGAATTATACAAATTTTCAATTTGCTCGTTAATAATTTACTTGACACATTTGATATTTAAATCTCTCTTGAATAGATTTTACATACCATATGAAATTTGTAATAACATTTAAAAATTTTGAACGTCTTGGAATTTCATGAAATTTGTGACAGACATCTGAGATATACTTTTCTATAATTGCAACATATTTAAAAGATTCTCCTCTGATCTGAACCACAGCTGTACGGGGGGACAAGGAATAATACAATGATTATTTATTACAATAGAATGTTTCGACATAACTGTGTTATTTCTCACCACATCTATATCTGTAGACAGCAACAGACTTGCATCATTGAAAATTAATCGTTGTCTGTCTCGGAAACTGTGTCAGACGTCACAATCGATCGATTCTACTGTAATAACATCATTAACGATTCTATTGTAACAATATCAATAACCCTCAACTTGAATTACAAATTACTATAACTTAATCGCTTAACTTCAACGTCTTTAAATCTCTGCGATTCATATCAAGAAATGAAAATCGCCAGTACGAAAGTAAAACTGAAAGCTTCTCTCACATTAAGGAGAAAGGGATAAAGTCGCGGGATAAATTGAGGGTTAGAGGGAAGTTATCTCAAAAACTGAAGTAGCCCCCCTTTTTATAGACGGAGCACTTGGATAGGTGCGGCCCTGATACACGCATACGTCGAGCCAGACGAGCGTGCAGCTTACATACGAACAACGACGCCGGCGACGACGCCGACGACGACGCCATCGACGAGGACGAGGACAACCGAGGACGCATTACACCCCCACCATCACGTACTACGAAATACTACGTTCTGTGATGCGGTGCAATTAAGCCAACGACCCCTCACCCTTCCACATCCAACGTTCCCCTGGCTCCCTCCAGCGGACTTCGGACCCGCAGGGGCGCAAGTCCGTTTCTTCTTTTACCGCCCCTACCGCCGCTCTGACATTTATCCATTCGTTCATTCATCAGAACACACTTCTTTAACCGGCTCTCGCCGTTCGAACCGCGTAACCACGTCGATTCTTTTTGACTAAGCTTGTACGCTCATCCGGTATTCAACTTCTCGTCTTCCTTCATTGAAAATCGCCGAAACGGTCTGATGGTTGGTTTGGCCAGACTATCATGTTTATCTAAAAATCGCAAAAATATAGAAATTCAAATTCATATTCGACAATCGTGGGCAATCGATTTCGATTCGATACTGGCGTTCGATAATGGCCGTTAAATAACCTTATTACAATTTAAATGACTCACCGACGTAATCGATTCCTTGGATCCAATTTCGAAATCGTGAAATTTATTAACATTGATTTTAATTTGCAGCATGTATTATTTATAAGTAACGATGAATTATATCGATTGAAACAAATTTTCGCTTCTCAGAAAATACCCACGCAATTTTTGAGCGTCTAACCTCAAACTTTATGTTCAACCTGCTCTTACTATTTTACGTAATACAAACTTATATATACTATAAGCAAATACACGCACTCGCAGATTCATTTATTAACGATCAATTTAAACATTTATTTATAAATAAATAAATTTCTACGCACTGCGAGATCTCTTTACTCTGTGGTGGCAATTTTATCGATCAAGCTCTGCCTTTTTTCTTCCTTCAGATTTTAAAAACTTTTGCATAAAATATTTTCTATAACAAATTTTCTAACACTATGTAGAAATTGTTCTTTTTTCGGTCACGCAAACTTTTTCATCTTTCACGAAACAGTTACACGAACCTTCAAAATCGCGCGCGATGCGACTACTAACGCATTTGAAGCGCCATCTTGAAGTGACTCCGAGTTCCCAATACCGCGAAAATTTGAATCAATCTGAACACGACTCGATATCTACTTTTTCGAATTTGTTAGTTTCTTTTTTAAGATCTCGTGTTTTTTTTTCCAAGACTAATGAGCGACATTCTCAATTCGATATCCGAAATTCAATTTAGCTTAATCTGCTTAATCTGCTTAATGTTCCAAATTTGCCGAAATGATCGCGTTAGATTTCGACTCTGTTCAAACACGATTAAGTAGATCTATCGAAGTTTAATTCAAATTTAATTTAATCTGATCTTCGTAATAAACTTTCACAGCTTCGAGTGAAAATTTAACAACTTCGTAATGAAATAATGAGGGATATACGAGCTTTTCGATCCTTTCCAATAAATTTCTCGTCCTGCGGTAAAATAAAGCCAAATTGCAAACAAAATTCAAGAAAAATCAAGTGAAGTAATGATTATCAAGCTTTGAATCGTTTTATCCATACGAAAATATTCCATAACCTAACACTGCCATCTGCTGAACAATCCGACGAATGATGTCGCTTTGACGGCTTTGCCTTTATCCATGCACGTGTGTTTGCGTATTGCACGGATCGTTCGATTTTTGGCGCACAACCAGGTAATATATCTCGAACGTACTATAAAATCATTACTACGCTATAACCTATTTCAAGCGTTACATCGAGTGACTTATAAGTATATTCTAGGTATTTCTAGTATCGTTCAGTGTCGCAGAATAATCCAAGTGTCTTAGTCAGAGGTGCTTCGTTTCTCCCTAGCACCTCTCCCTTTCCCGTTAATAATCGTTTTTTCGTTTGATTGCACAACATCGGTTACTTTTAATCGGGATTAACTTCAAATTGAGGGGGATTCGCGAGATGCAGTGAAAACCACGGCGTTTCCGTATCCCAACCCTTCTATCTTTGTCTTTCTCCTTCTTTTCCCATCGCCTTACTTTGTTCCTCTCTTCTTTGTCCCCCTCGTTTCTCTGTCGCACTCGTTGGCTCGTGTAACGAACCGTTTACGGCAATGGAAGTTTTTGAATATTCGAATTTGTCAATACATCCCACACCGGCCGTGTTTCCTAACGCACGTGTGATCGTGTTCCTAACCTCTGGCTTACATAACGCTTAACTCGGCTCCACGTTAGAACGACGCTCCACGCGTTTGATCGAATTTCAGACAAATCATGCCGTCCGACGCGAAAAAGAAACAGCAGCAGAAAAAAAAGGAAGCAGCCAAGGCCCGTCAATCGGGGAAAAAACCACTCCAGGGTAATCAGAACAAGACTGCGGAGGATGGCAAGGAATCAAGTCCTGGAGCGGGTGTCATTCAAAACGGAACCAATGGGACGCCTATCAGTACCGAAGGTAAAATCAAAAACTATCTGAGAGGTGAAGGAGCGGTTAAAGACGGTATAATTGGTATTATTACAGAGGCACTATGTATAAAACTGGAGGCAGATGCCAAGCTAAATGCAGAGGCACGCTCGTGCACAGGATCATTGGCTTCCCACCCACGAAGTCGCGACATAAAGATATCTAATTTTTCTATTACTTTCCATGGCTGTGAATTGCTGCAGGATACAATGTTGGAATTGAACTGCGGCAGACGTTATGGCTTGCTTGGGCTTAATGGCTCTGGGAAATCTACTTTATTAGCTGTACTTGGAAACCGAGAAGTTCCTATTCCCGATCAGATCGATATCTTCCATTTGACCAGGGAAATGCCTGCTAGCAATAAAACAGCTTTAGAATGTGTGATGGAGGTAGATGAAGAGCGTATACGATTAGAGAAACTGGCAGAGGAGCTAGTCGAATGTGAGGAAGAAGATGCTCAAGTATGCTTCTAACATTTGCAGTATTTTACCCTGTTTTTTTTTAATAACACATTATGCTAACACATCGGACTTTGTCTAAAACTTAGGAACAACTCATGGATGTCTATGAAAGGTTAGAGGATATGTCCGCCGATACGGCAGAAGCTCGTGCTGCTCACATTTTACATGGTTTGGGTTTCACTGCAAAAATGCAAAATACACCTACCAAAGATTTTTCAGGGGGTTGGCGTATGCGAATTGCTCTTGCAAGGTTGGCAGCTTAATTATCTGTAAATATAGGAATTTGCACAAATAATATAATGATCTGCTAAAAATACTATCTCTTTTTACAGAGCTTTATATGTGAAACCTCATCTGTTATTACTGGATGAACCTACTAATCATTTAGATCTCGATGCCTGTGTATGGTTAGAAGAAGAATTGAAAACATACAAAAGAATTCTAGTTATCATTTCTCACTCGCAAGATTTCCTCAATGGTATCTGTACAAATATCATACATGTCAATAAAAAGCAATTGAAATATTACAGTGGTAATTATGAAGCTTTTGTGAAGACAAGGTAAGTTGAAAATAAAAGTTTAATTTGTAAAAGTGAATAACACAAATTCTTTGACAGGATGGAATTATTGGAAAATCAAGTGAAGCAGTATAACTGGGAACAGGATCAAATTGCACACATGAAGAATTATATAGCTCGATTTGGACACGGCTCTGCAAAACTTGCAAGACAGGCACAATCTAAGGAAAAAACACTGGCGAAAATGGTAGCACAAGGCCTCACGGAAAAAGTAGTCAATGACAAAGTACTGAACTTTTATTTTCCTTCTTGCGGAACTATTCCACCCCCTGTTATTATGGTTCAGAACGTTAGTTTTCGTTACAACGAAGATTCACCTTGGATTTATAAAAACTTAGAATTTGGTATAGATTTAGACACCAGAATTGCATTAGTTGGTCCAAATGGAGCTGGAAAAAGTACTCTTTTAAAATTACTGTATGGCGATGTAAGTCTCTATTGTTCATCATTTATGTAGAAGCAAAAACAACACCTTCAAATAATTGCGTTAATTAATATATAATTATAGCTAGTTCCAACCAGTGGTATGATACGTAAGAACAGTCATCTTAGAATTGGGAGATATCACCAACATTTACACGAATTATTGGATTTAGATGTGTCGCCTTTGGATTATATGATGAAAGCCTTTCCAGATGTTAAAGAAAGAGAAGAAATGAGGAAAATCATTGGTCGTTACGGATTAACTGGTCGTCAACAGGTATAATTATATTTTTAAAAGTTTAAAGATACATAGATATTAGATTTTAGAAAATAATTTTTTTTATTGTACACAGGTATGCCCAATAAGACAATTGTCCGATGGTCAACGTTGTAGAGTAGTCTTTGCATGGTTAGCTTGGCAAGTGCCTCATCTATTACTGCTTGATGAACCGACCAATCACTTAGATATGGAAACAATTGACGCATTGGCTGATGCAATTAATGATTTTGATGGTGGAATGGTGCTCGTGTCTCACGATTTCAGACTGATTAATCAGGTATATATTGACTTTGTTACAATATGTAATAATCCGTTGATCATTCGATTGTATAATGTCTTTCTATTTTATTAGGTTGCTGAAGAAATTTGGGTTTGTGAAAATGGTACAGTCACAAAATGGAGTGGAAATATATTGGACTACAAGGAACATCTGAAGACCAAAGTGCTTAGTGACAACCAAAAGAGACAAAAGGAAATGCACAGAAACAAATAATTCAAATGACCTGCTCTGCCCAATTTTTCTTTTCAAGTATACTTTTTCTCTCTTTCTTAAACCTTTCGGTTTCTCGGACATTTCTTCATGTCTGTTGCTGACTTTGCGCTGCTATGTAGCGTTTATCAATAATTGAAGATATTTTTAGTTAATTTATTTAAACAATAAACAGCGAACTACTTTGTGACAGCTACCGAGATCTGTTCACGATAGAATTTATCATACTACTAACTTAGAGATCCGATGTTATTAATGTACTACGAAAAATTATAAATTGGATATACGTATATACAGGTATATATGTATACATATATACGTACACACATATATATACATATATATATATGTATAGATTATTACAGAAACTACAGAAGAAATAAAACACGTTTAAGTATTACAAACACGCAACAAATACTCGAATTCTTCTCTTACGATTTAACTTTATTATAAAGTCATATTTAACTATAAATTAATTTGATTCTTGATAGATATAAAAAAATATATGGATGTGTACAAACAAACAATTATAAATACTTAGTATAATCGATAAAACGACACGATTTCTTTCGAGATAGAATTTTTCATCTTTCATATACATAAGTTATTAACATCATGGAAGACTAAAATCTCACGGATATCCATATCACAAGAAGTATATCTCTGGTGTTCTTTGATTGTGAAAGATGTTTAAATCTATATACATATATATCTTACGATATTTTTTAATACGTCACGAAAGTAATGTATGCATTTTTGTAACACTATGATTACATGAAATGTAATACACTGAACATTGTCAGTAGAAAACTCGAAATTGCACTACTGGGTTTTGGACCTTGACATAATAAAAAAAAAAAAAAAGAAGAAAAGAAATACATAATATGAAATATTTCATAATACTATGTGTGTACCTTCAATTTCACATAGAGCTTAATAAAGCCTAGTGTAAAAACCCAAAACCATGAGAAACATAGAAATTGTGAAAATTTCTATGAATCAGGAGACAATCTGAAAGTCAGACTGGTGTCGAGGCTGGGATGGAGCAAGCTACTTCCTGTGCCAATGCAGCATTTCTCAAGATTGATAAATGTGAATCCATATCACTTAAAGCTTGATCAATGAATGCCAACTTCCTAGCATGACTCTTGGACACTCCGTGCTTAGTGACCAATGCTAAGTGTGTAACGGCTAATACCAATGCTGCTACTCTTGCTTCTAATAGTCTGGCATCTAATGGTGGATACAAACTTCTGACCACGTCATCAACACGAGGTGGAATACGTCTAGCAACCTAATAGACACGCAAATATAAATTCTACGTCTAACATCATTATAAAACAAGAAAATGTACACTTACATCCACTATCTCTAATGGAACAGTGTTACTGTTCACTGTGCCTGCAATAGCGGTGAGACTGGAGGCCAAAGCATGGCAAGATCTTAATACAGCAATACAGAGTGGAGCTAAACCAGTAGCATCATCAACCCATCTGTATCATTCATAAAATGTCACTATTGTGCAACTAATTCTTGGTTCAACTAGAGTCTCATCTCCAGATATTAACAAAACATTTTAATACCTCTCTGCACCAGCTAACCACTCCTCACTTTCCCAAGCATCTAAGCCTAAACCAGAGAAATTCTCTCCCTCTAACAAGTCTGAGCTTAAGTCTGGAGAGTCTTTTTGATTCTAAAAAGTGATCGTATAGATTTTATCATGTCTTGCAAGAAAGAGTGAATGCTTAACTTACGTAGTAACATCTTTGTCTTTTGCATATAACAAGTAATACTAAGAGTGCGCCGAGGAAGACAGCAGCAAGTGCGCCAAGCGCAACAGCTACTACTGTTTCCATTCCAGTAGCACCAGCCGTGGGGCCAGTGTTACTTATGGACACTGGAGAACTCATCTCTCAGATGAGTTTGACAATCCAATTGTTTTGTTCAGATAAATTTTTGGACTAATTAAAATCTACAAATAAACACCGTTTGAACGATTTTTCCCGTGTCAAAACAGTGAACAGCGTCGAGTTTCCCGGTGATAGTCGGTGGGAGGCGGAGACTGTCACGAATTTTAAGCTCCATTCATCAAGAGGTGACTCCTAACTGCAGCCTTTACGTGATTCGATGATTACATTAACAGGTGGTTTTTTCAGGTATCCCTTCGTAGACGAAATCTACGAAAAATGCGACCATAATTGGCAAATCTCCAAACAATAGAGAGAATATCGATGTAATATTATTAAAAAATATTCCTTTTCGTTGTTACTACGAGAAGTTATTTTGGAAAATTCGAAAAACCTTTGATTTTCTTCGTTATATTTTTGGAGGCATGTTTCTGCACATATACGCTTTCAGGACTCCGTAATTATATTTTCTAATAAAAATTAACATCTAGGGAATTCTAATAAAATATCAACGCGCTATGAACAAATGCTAATCATTATACGATTCAATTTGCAACTTCGGTACTTCATCAGTATGCAAGTGTTCTGTACTTTTGAAAAGTATATCTTCTAAAATTACAATTTTGCGAGAAGATATTAATGAGTTTGTATTTCTTAATTGCCTGTAAAAATTCATCATAATTCTTTCAGAAATCGAATCGATTTTTCGAATCACTTGTAATAATAAATTTTCTTTAAGAAATAATTACAAATTCGGAAGCTTTTGGATTATTTTCTATAATTATTACTGTTTCGAACGTTCAAATTTCCACTAATATTTCAAATGTTATTACTTTTAATTTCGTACAAGTATAATTTTGCGATCTTACAATTGCAGTTTTCTTCGTGTAGAACGCAACTTGCGTATTTAATTGTAATACACTATTTTATATAAGATTCTATCGAATGAATAATTATTATCAAAACCTTGGGAGCGTCGATTGAGATCGTTTAACAAAATGAAAAAAAGAAAAGATACGAACGAATTAGAAAAATCAAACTGCGAAATGAAAGAATGATTTATCAGTCGATCGGCCAATAATTATTATGCATGTTGTAACAGAACTTGGCAGCACTGATGGCAAAATGAAATAATTCAGTGTATTTCATAGTCATATGTTTTCTGTCATGAAAGAGTTGCTGTCAAATTTCGTGAACACTTTGTGAGCAAAAACAGCAAACGTGTCTTCGCCACGAAATAATTCACGATCTCACTAGTACGTTATGCTACGTGTACATCTGCATTTACGTTGCTAAGTTCCGAGGGAAACGTAACCTATCTCTTCCAAGTTCTTCTCGCTTACCACGCAAAGTAACACTTTGAACGTGATATTGAATCGATATAACACGTTTTGAAAATTTTCGTAAAGTCTACGCCTTCTGATTGTGAACGTAAACCATGCTATCTCTGTGAGTTCCTTGTTAAGTAGCTTCAACGAAAGATTTCGTAGTTAACGAGGAGAGGTCTCCCTTTGTTGTGTAAGGGAACGTGCGTTTCAAAACGGGTAGAAAGGTTAAGAGCGAGCGATCAATCGGTATAAATTCAGAGGAATTTACAAGACATTCGTCTCGCAAAATGAACAGGATAACGAATAGTGCAACAGCGAGACTGAAACAGGACTACTTGCGTCTTAAAAAGGATCCCATACCTTACGTCGTCGCAGAGCCAGTACCTTCGAATATATTAGAATGGTATATATTTTTCGTTTAAACGTTCTTGTACATTCAAGAGCAAATTTGTTATACACGCAGAAGCTTATAAACATTCTACGATGTGTTTCAGGCACTATGTTGTAAAGGGTCCAGAGAAAACTCCATACGAGGGTGGATTTTATCATGGGAAGCTTATATTTCCAATAGAATTTCCATTCCAACCTCCTAGCATTTACATGACTACTCCAAATGGCAGATTTAAAGTCAACACAAGATTGTGCTTGTCCATTTCTGACTTCCACCCTGATACATGGAATCCAGCGTGGAGCGTGTCTACGATTCTAACAGGATTACTTAGTTTTATGGTGTGTAATCAATAACTAACAGAATCAGATGGAATTCCAATGTTGTGGTACTAATATATTACGCTTGCGATAGATTGAAAATAGCCCTACCATGGGTAGCATCAACACATCCGATTACGAGAAGAAACAATTTGCTGCACAGAGCTTGGAGTACAACCTGAAAGATAAAATGTTCTGTGAACTTTTTCCAGAAACTGTCGAGGTATCAATGTTGAAGATAGGTAACATTTGTTGGCCCAGTCAGATTAACAAACGAATTTATGTTTCCAGACGATAAAGGCAGAATTGGAACACAGGAAAGAGCTGGAGAAACAAGCAAGGCGTCAGACTACAAATTCGGAAGTTTCGTCGCTGTTACGTGACCAGCTACAAAGGGATCAAGGTCCGTTGTATAGTGTACTCACCAATTTCATTGTCATTATAGGATTCGCAGCATTCGCTTACACAGTAAAATACGTATTGTGGAGTGTAGCGACGGAATAGAAGAGTGAATGAAAAAGAAAAAAAAAAGAAAAAAAAAATGAATGCACACGCAGCATTCGTTGTTCAAATAAAGAAAGAAAATGCTGGAAAAATGTTGTGATAACGATGCGTGTAGAAAGGTATTAAAAATCGGGACTGTTTCATCGAACAAAACTCGTGGATTCTGCTACTATGGAATACTATTCAACCTCTTGGTTTCCGAGTACACTGATGATACACCACACCGGGAGTTTATTAGATTTTTATATCAGAATTACTTGTAAAATACGAGTTGTACTATATTCGCAAATTTTAAACGTGATAATCGCAGAACAACCTATCGGTAACGATTCCTTGACGTGTTCCACCTATGAGCGTTTATCATCAGACGAAATACTAATAAGTTTTTTATTCAATTGTAAAAAAAGAAAAAAAAGAAAGAAAGGATGAGAAACAAATTGTAACGTTGTTAATTGACTCGAATTGACTCGAATTTCAGATTAACACCATCAGCTACATCGGTCAAGTTTTGTTTTATGCGAATTTTCAAAGCGTAGAACTATAAATATTTGAAGAATTATGTACACGACGGAGATGAAAAGGGGGGGGGGAGAGAGAGAGAGAGAGAGAGAGAGAGAGAGAGAGAGAGAGAAAGAGAATGCGAGAAGTAAAGTAACGAAACAAAATCGTGGGGGCTTCCCAATGCTATCAGCAAATCGGTGAAGATTCAAATTTTGCTACAAATCTTCTATTCCTGATTTCCTTCGTACATCTACACTGGACTTTTCACACGATAAAGAAAAAAAAAGAAACTTCCCGAATGTGTGAAAAAAAGAAAAAAGAAAAAAAATAGAAGTTTGCCTCTGCGATGTGCCAATGAGAAACTAAGTCAAAATTTCTAACTGAATCGAACTAAGCTTAGTAGAGAATAGCTTGTGTTGACAAAACGTGTCTTGTAAATACGTGTAGTAATCTAGTAAGACGTGTGTAATATCAGTGAATAACAAACTTTGAGAAAAAAAAAAGAAATTTAACAGATCAGTGTCAGTATTTCTTGTTTAACTGGTTCGAGAGATAATCTTAGGGAAATCTGCTCGAAATTTGTCGGACCTTTGTGAATTGCTGGGAACTGAAAAGAAGTGCGAATCTGATTGATTGTTTCAATGAAATCTTAAATATAAATATAAGGATTGACTATTGACTGAAAATGTCGCGTAACAAACAATCTAATAGCACAGTGTGTCGATGAATGGTACGAGGGAACTATTTGCCTTGTTCTTTTGCCTTCTTTTCAGTTTTCAACAGTATGTACATGTTGCGTGTTCTCAGCTTGCTCCGAAGTTTCGTTCGAATCGGTTGTTATCGCTTTGTTGAACGTAGTGTTCTTTTTTTTTGTCACTCGTCGCGTTAAAAGAAAAAAAAAAAAAGAAAGAAAGAAAAAAGAAGCAGAAAAGAAACGAATTGTAACTCTCAGATTAACACGTCGCGATTATACTGTATCAATTGATAACATGTATAAAACTGTACTAATGGAAACAGAACTGACACATAATCCGTGGAACGATATTTATGTTAAGGAACTATCACGTCGGTTTTATTTATGAATTAAAAACAATGTAATAATTTTTCTACACAAACAACGTCTATTTTTTGCCTCCTTGCTATTCGACGTATTTGTAAAAAAAGAAAAGGAATAGAAAAACAGACAAAAAGGAATAACTTGAATTTTTTAAATATTCGAGTATGTATAGAATTATTAAACTTTAAGAGTTCGAGTACTTCCGCTCTTTTAGCAACAATTTTATCATTAAGTGGTATGACGTGTGCAAAATAATTTATTAAGAATAAAAATGAAAATTAAGTGGGGGATTGAAACGCGAACGAAATTTGAAAATCGAACTTTTCCCGCGCCTTTCGCTAGTGTCCCTGCGCCATCTTGAAGCGCGGCATAAAAAAAGAGGCTCCTACGTTCGCACGGATATTTTTCTAATTATTGCGTTGTTTCTGCAAAGAAACAATCGTTCTCTCTTCCAAAACATGTCAATTTCGTTTAATTATTGATAAAAAGAAAGGATCATACGGTTTTATACTATATCTGTATTTTCATTTGCCATCACGTTAACCGTTCATTTTATTTCTTCCCGCGCAAAATTCATACGCATTTACTCGTACAGATAAGTTCTATTCATTCATAAACGAGCGAAAATTTTATTTAAAAAATTTTTTTGTAACAAGTAAAATTATACTTCTAGGTTAAGATCGACGTTTACAGATGTCGCCATGATACGACTTTGAAGTCTCTATTTTTCGTAGTTCACATTTTCATGTGTACCATGCGATGATATTTTAAAATATAGAATTCTACAACTTTACAACAATCACTCGTTATAAAATAATTAATTAGAATAGAATTTATCACAGTAAAAGATCGTTGGAAATTACTTTGAGAAATAAAATTATTTGATTCAAAAAGAAACGTTTCGTCATATATCGCGAAAAATAATCATAATTTCAGGAATCAACGGGAAGTTAATAAATCCTTTAATTACACAGAGACAAGATCGCGACCGCAGCCAATCAGCTCATACTGTTTGCTGTACAATTCATAATTGCACCACGGCTATTAATTACAATCTCTGACCAACAGTTTTTAATCGAACGATCCAAAATTTTAAATCAATAGTGATTCTCAATTAGCAATTGTACATCAAATAAGAATGATTACCAGGTTTCACCTCGTGGAGGTTGCTGCGTATGGAGACCCACCTAATCTAATCCTATTCTAGTCCTATATCTACTCTTCTATTACGCTAAAAATTCTTTCAATAGCGAATAAATTCGTCCCAAAGTTACGCGATTAATATCATTATAATACTCGTCAAGCAAGCTATGCAATAGATGCACAATTTATAGACACATGATTTTCCATTATAAATAATAATCTTCGCGCCATGAAATCGGTATTTTCGAATGTTACTCTTTAAAGGAAACTGTCATATGCACCTGATTGACGCTGTTTCGATTAAAAACCCCGATCGGATAATATCTATAACGTGTATGTGGCAGTTTCGAGGATTGTTTAAAGAATCGTTCAACGGTTTGCCGATCGGGAAGGAAGAAAGGAAACGAGAGCAGCCGCGGTTTACCGGGCCGGTAAACAGTTACAATTTTCTTTCAATGCTCCCTTGTTTGAGTGCGCTCGGGAGGAAGGATGCATCCTGTGAAGCCGTCTTGAACTTTCGTAGCTGACTCTGTGTTTAGTTGTCTCTGCCACTGGAACCGTGTAGTCGGGATCCGAACGTAGATTGTACATCGACTAGGATAGTAAATAAAGCGCTTTAATAAGTTTGGCGGGCTTAAATTCGGCTCAAATTTTAATCAAAGTTTTAATCCAAGCAAATCTTTGATCTTTAATCTAATATAAATAATTTTCAATCTTTTATTAATTTTACATCTACGATGTAAATAATAGATATTACTTGAATTTTCTGACAATTCTCTTCTTTTTGTTTTCTACGATTTTAATTCGGGAGAAATCTTTGTGGAAATTTGGCTGTACCCCATGTTCCAGCTGCTTCGAAAGAGCTTCCTGTGCACCAGTTCCACGGTCGATCCACCTTAATCTACGAAAACACGCCGCAAAAGAAGCAAACAGCAATTTATTCGACCACGAAATAATAAGGAAGTCATCCATAGGCTCTTCTTCTCCTTCCCAGCCTCTTTTCGACTGGAGACCGCCTTCCGAAAGTAAATCATCGAACCAGGCGCCAGGACACTTTGGTCACGCCTGAGATCCTGCGAAAATAAGACGCACATGTCCGTGCAGCGTGTCTCCCACTTCGACTTCTCGTCCTTTGGATTCAATCGCTAAATTTACACTTTTTCTTTTTCACGACGACATTTACGATTAAAGTATCTGAAACAAATTGAAAGTACACCGAGAAGATAATTGTCCATGTATTTATCAATTTGTTCGTAAATAAATCTCCGTAGAGAAGAAGATGTATCTACATCAAAATATATTCCAACTAATAAGGAGACAAACGTATATATTTTGGTAATAGAATTTTCAAATTATCTTACGCGGAACAACATCGGCTAAATGCATATTCGATACCTTCGAAGCGTCATTTTGTTATGGATCGGTACAGGAGGAGCTTGTGAACAGTCGGAGGGAAACCGTTCCTGGTATCCATTTCCTCGCCAGTCGAAAAAACCATTTCGAAAATAATTAACTGGCGGGGACGAGCTCATTACGCGGCTTAATTAGCTGCCACTGGTATCCGTGTTGCTCGAGCCGGTCACACAGAGGAGACCGACTGAATCGGCTGCCGAATTATGGTGCGCCGATGTCCCCGCTTAGAGAACGCGCTCTTTATTAAAATTTAGCCCGCCTCCAGAGTCTTCGACTGCCACCGTTCCCTGAAACACCACTTCAGTTTCACTTCTGAATTACCAGAATGGACGTACAATTATGGAATTAAATAACTCTATCAACACTGAAACTACCAGACAACTAACACGTAGGTTTTTGAGAAATCTAAATGATTTCTTTTTGTATGCGTATTTTTACAATTCCTCCCTTTATACGAGTTTCATAGTTTGCTTCGTTGATAGCTGGTGCATTTATCAGAAATATAAAAATAGTACATTCGTAGGTACACTTGTGCACTCTTGAATTTTTCAAAAATTCTCGAACACTGAAAAAGAAAAAAAGAAATCTAGTGGACGAAGCAAATTTTCCACTCATAGTTCCATTCGATTTGGGTAAACGACGGATGTTGTTGAAAAGCTGGAGAATGGAAAGAAGAGAAATTTCGCCGGTTTCTATTTTCATCGACGTTGCGCGGTAGCATAACCAGCAGGGTTGTGGTTCCTTCGTCGGATGTATTTACCTACGTCCCGTTGGAGTGGCGTGGGTTCGTCGCAGAACGGTTTACTGATTGTGTAAAACGGAACACCGTGTCGTTGGATCGTTCCCATCTAGGCATACGTACGTAGGTGGTGTGCGAGTGGAGAGGGTGGGAGAGACGGTGGTCGCGGTTGGCACTAACGACGAACGATTCATCATCCTGGGGGAAAACGAAAGGAGTGACAGAAATTGCGGTGATTTAGTAGGAAAAGACAGAGAACAGATGTTTAACCTTTCCACCGTGTCTAACCCCTGCGAGGCCTCTATCTCCCTACTCGTCCCCTTATCAGTAACTTCCACGATGATCTTCGTTTTTTATTTTCTGCGGGTTCTCTCGACAAGGTGAAAAACGCTGCTTGACATCAGGCATTGAAACATTGGTGTTGCAGGATCCCTGGGAATTAAAATTGCGAATATGTGGAATCACTTGGAATCAAGAGACGTTACGGAGTTAAATAAGGAGATGGGAAGATCAGAAAAATAATCTACTTACTTGACTGAACTTTTATTTTATTTGGTTAACTTTTCAACTCGAGAATGGAGAAACTTGCGCAATTGTTAGAAATTGAAACTGAAATTGCAGATTATTTAGGATCATTAAACTCTGTTATTAAATGAGCATTACTTTGAAACTTAGCGATTGCTAACAATTTCACAGTTTCCTTCTTCCCAAAATAACATCGTCGAATTAAAAAAGTCTTTCACCTGCGAGACAGATAAAGAGAAGAAAGCGCGAGTAAAAAGAAGAGGAAAAAAAAACGTATAGTGCAGTGGAGGAACAGGGCCGATGGCAGGATATCCATCGAGTTCTCGCGTTCGTAAATAAACCGGTGAAGCGTGGTGGGTCGCTATGTTTAGGTTAGGTGGTTTCTCAGATTTCTGGGATCACCATGGAAGAGAATGTGACAGCAGGTCTTCCAGCTACCGGTCGGCTGCTTTACGATCACGAGTACGCTACCAATTCACTGACGGCTGCTTTCTAAAAAGAGAACCGCGAGGAGACACACCGGCCTGTTCCTCTTTTTACACCCCGTAACTCATAACTCTGTATCTTCGCCAGTTTCAAGGTCTCTCTCGTCGAATCAACATCGTCACACCGTTACTGTTAACGAATTCTCGCTTTAACAGCGACAAAATTGACAGCCACTAATTACGACGTCCGTGAAAAGGGAAGTCTGTAACTTGCGACTGTCCAAACAGCAAATTATTGTCAAAGGTTTAACAGACTGATTAGGTATGATCATTTATCCCTGTCAAGTGAGAAATTCATCTGAAACGTTCTGTCGATCGAAACGGATACAAACGAAAGTCAAGCAGATACAAGGAATTAACCCCTTTCGCTGGCAACTGGTTCGCGGACCATAACGAGAGACCGAACCGACGATAGAACAATATCGTCGCTTTCTTTCTCTTTTGAACTCGCTGGAATAGAAATTATCAAGAAGTAACGAACCTATCACTTGTTTTGCCTGGGTTACATGCAAAATATACTTGAAACCGAGAGAATGTCGCTGGATTTGGGACAAAAAGAATTCAGCGCACGAAGCTAAGAACTGAAATGAGTGTAATGGAACAACGTGTTCCGGAGGAACTAGCGGAGAGAAGAAGTTGTGGAAAAAGTCGAAAGGGACATCCGGTGTATGTTGATTGGCCAAAAGACCGTCGGGTTGACATCGTTTTTGGCCAATCGGACAAACTGGGCGTCTCTAGCTGCCGTTTCCTTGCAATAATATTTGCACTGGCTCGTCTAATCCATTAAGCCTGCCATCGGCTGGCATTTGGTAAATTATTTATCGGCTCTCCGCCGTCACCTCCTCGCGCAGCCGCTTCGGCTTGTCCCTCTTCGTCTTTCGCGCGGCGACGACTTCTTTGAATTTACGATCTGGGAATATCCACACGTATTCGCGGCCTCGGCTCGTTACGAGTATTCCGTGACGTCAGCCGAGCGTTACGCGACACGATCCTAGACGTTCCGTGCGTCTTCCTCGATGGAACTTCCGGCGTTGTTGGAAACTCCGCGTTTCGCACAGAGACGGAACGCTTTAGGATATCTGGAGTGGTATTTCTGGAAATATTTCCGTCCGTGGATTCTGGAATTAAGAGAGGGCGAAGTCGGTGAGGAATACAGAATATGGGGGGAGGAGGAGAGAATTGGAATTTAGAGATTTGAAATGTTCACTTGAATTCAAAAGTGAGAAGTTTAGTTTGAATTTGCAAATTGGAAAGTTGAAAAGTTTGGAATCTCTGTTGATTGGAATTTCAAATCTTCTTCCTTTTGCAAAAATATACAATTTCAAATATTAATTTGATTTAAATTTAAATTAGAGTAAAATTTTATAGAATCTCTAACGTTTGAAATTCCAACATTCTGTTCGACAATTGTTTTTAACATTCAATGAAATTGAGCGTTTGAAAATTTTTCTTTAAAATTACCTATTATCTTCGACAAATGGAAAGAGCAGGAAAAGGAAAATTCCAGGTACTGAACGAGAGAGATTTTCATCCAATCCAGTCGTGGGTTTTATTGCAATTCTTGTGTTGTGTCAATAAAAAAATACTGTACATTAGAAAGAGGCGCGAGCGCACGCTGCATTTCAAAAAAAAAATGCACTTGTTTTAATGAAGATCCAAGCGTAGAATCGGAGTCGTAGAATTTTACAAAAATACTTTCGTGGTCTGTCTAATTAAAACAAGCAATTGATATAAGTAAAAGTTTCGGAACAATTTAAAAGAAAATTTTAAATTTCGAGAAAGAAAATTTAAGAAAAATTAAGCGACTTAGATTAAAAATCTTCAGTCAGAATTTTTGTTTGTAATTTCTGCTATATGCACGGAATAGAAATTTACTAATATTTAAGATATTTACAGGATTAATTGACAAATGAATTGTTTCATTAAGGGAATAAATTATTGCGATTTCCGGCCCACTTATGAACTTATGCAAAAGTATACACGAATATCACTTGATAACGTAATGTTGTCTATTAGAGAATATAAAACTAACAATAAGTTCTAAGACTATGTACAATATTATACAAGATTTTTGGTTGCTTTAGCTGTATGCTCAAGGCACTCGAAATGCTCTTGAAAGCTTATATTTACAAATAAAGTCTAACATAACACAAGGCACAACATATCACTAGGAATTTTATATAAAAATGGAAAATATTTAGAAAGATGTTGAATTCTGTTATCATTATATTGCGGATTATTCTTTGCATTTATGCGAAAATCCAAAAATAATATATAAAATATCCAAAAGTAGTATATTTGTGATAGCTCTTAATAAGTAAAACGAATTTCTACTTTTCTCATTAGGTAAATCCATAAGAAATAAAAGTGCACGCTGTAATTATTGTAATGCGAAATTTCAAAAATTGTAAATAAGTTAAAAAAAAAAAGTACATCTGGTAAGGCGCTGTTATTTGTAGCTAAAGTCCCTTAAAAAAATAGCGATTTTGCAAATACCTACTCAAAGTTGCTTCACGTGTACCAATATGAAATAAGTGCTTAGACTAAAATTACTTATATATACATCTTCAGATCTTGAAAATTAAATAACGAGAAAAATATGACAATTAATAAAAGTCTGACAATTACCAATGACATGAAACTGTATTGACATGATGCACATTGTCTGAAACTGCCGGAAGATACCTGAATGTATCACGTTACTGCACTTAATTTAAACAACAGATCTTCCAACAATTTCAATTAGCAGATAGCTTTGTATATTTAATTACTTGATATTTGGACGAGTAAATACACATAGTTCATAACATTCAGTGTTGGGCCAATGAAAGGAACACCTGTCACACTTGTTGCTAAAAATTTCAGTTTAATAATTCGTCATTTTTCAGATATGGTTCTCAGAAGAGGCAATATCGTGGCAAAATGACTTACCTCGTTGTTATAATAAATAATTAAATGGAGAACAGTGGCTGGATCGAGAAGAGAGGATATATTTGGAAGGAATGGATTTATGCTTAACTTCTGGAGCCAAGTGAAATATGTTATGATAAATGTTTATTCCTGAAATTTCCCACCTACAACGAAAAAAATACAGCATTATAATCTTCCATTGCAGCTGTTAAATACTTCATCACTACTACATCACATCAAATTTTTCACTTAAAAATTCTTCATAAAAATTTAAAATAAACTACATTCTTCAATAAAAAAAATTCAAAGTTTCTCAGCGTCTTCACTTCATATCACTTTACCTGTTAAAGACAGCAATTCAAATTTTTAACGAAGATCTAGAAACACATAGATAACTATGAGCAACGAGGAAAGAGTTCCCTTTTTCAAATGAAATATCTTCCAAAACTGTGCGTGTGTCGTTCAACGAGGAGGCAGAAAAGATAGAAGAGAAGAGCACTCTGACAGCTTCTCAAGGAGGAGAGAGACTGGATGGCACCTCGTTTGGAGGCCGGGCTTTTTTTCACCAAGATTCAGTGCGGCAATAAAGACGCTGGCGGATTTAACGTGGCGTGTCTTCGTTAACCGAGTCTCAAACCGCGGGGCCCAAAACTTTTCCTTCTTGCCCTCTCGGTTTAAAATAACTGATACGCCCGGCCGGGACGGGTGTTTCAACGATGAAAAGGAATCAAGAAACATTCCCATTCTATACGCCACGCGTATGCATACCGTTCTCACGAAAAAAATTCACGTTCTCTGTTCCTCGAGGGAACGGAGAAAAGGAGGAAACGATGAAAATGATGGGGGAGAAAAGAGGCGCGATGGAACGTATGGGAGATCCTGACCGACTTATCGGCGCCAAAATGCTCGTTAATGCTTCTCTGTCGGTTGTTTTGTTTAAGCTTCATCTACCCGTCGGGCAGCAGTTAGAGCTTGTTTCCACAACGTCCGAGACGTTAAGGCCTGCCGCGATCATCGCGGCTCGTAAAAAAAAAACTCGTAAAATTGTAGCAATGACGCTACTGTCTGTCGTGGATCTGAGAAAGGAAAATCGGAGACGAGAGTTCAGGGAACTCCCCCCTTGTTTCGTGTCTGTTGTATTGTTCCGATGAAAATATACGTAAGTACACAAGTGTAACGGAACATGATTGGAGAAGATAATTTCTATTGATATAAAATATAGAATATAAAATTTGCGTTTGACGTAATACACCAATTACGTTATTTAAAAATCATTTGTATAAAAATCAATTCTATAATGATTGATGTAAAAAATCATTTCTATATTAATATAGAAATATTCACTATGAATATGCTATTCATTGGCGGTAGTCACCGTGCCAATTAAATTTTAAGTACTGCTATTCAGTTCACGTGATTTTGAAAATTTTTCTAACAGAAGAAGATGCAAAAGTGATAGGAGAAAATCCATTTCGGGAATCTCGGCAATAATCGACCGTTGAATGACTTCATTGTAACGCGGTAGACGTCCTCTCGACGTTTGTCGGCAAACATTTTAAAAAAGAGGCCACTCCAACCAATCTTCGTCTGGGTGAAACATGCGAAAGGATTAAAACCTCGTCCTCGTATTTCCATGCTTTTCAATAACTATATTTCTACTCTTCGAGAGAGCGAAGTTTATGCCTTGGCAAGTGAACAATTTCAATAATTAAAGAAAAAAAGGAAAAAATTAAATTCACTACCCCTAACAATCAGAAAGTTTACGAATAATACTCGAGATCATAAATGTTAAAGGAATTTCGAATTTTTTTTACAATTAGGTGCGTTAAAATTACTAGCAAGAAGAGACGATGATTTTCTCGTCATTTATGAGGTGAGCAGAGATTGCAGAGGAATTGGCTAGCCGGCCAAACACTCTTCGTTTCCACCGTAAATTATTGGTTATTATGTCGTACGAACCAAAGTTCCACAACGTAAGTTTCCACGCACGCATCGTGATTGTATTTCGAACAGCGGCCAATGAAGAACGTCTCAGTGGATTCTCCGCAAGAAATCATTGGTGGTAATTAATTTCAGGCACGATGATCAACAAGTGTGACAGCGTATCTCTTCTCACCGCCGTGAGCTTCACTGTGGACGTTAAATTCGCATTTAGAATACTTAAGAAACTTCAAGAAAAATCTTTCTTCCGTGATAAATAGTATAATAAATTCGAGCTACTTTTTACATTGAACTTTATATATTATCAGTAGAACTATTAACCCTAATTGCTCCGATTATTAATCGTAAAAGTAACGTACAACTTGGAACCAAGTATCCAAACTCATCAAACGTTTATTAAATCTATCGCAACAGGATCGAAATAAATTTGGATACTTTGCATATTGTTACGCAGCAAAGCGCGAATATCCACAGTGCACTAATCACTGAATGTGTAATCAGAGAATGTGTAGGACAATTTTCAAATCAAGTGAAACAGGTGCTCTAAAAGAAATAGGATAACTTAGTGCAATCTGAATATTCGCGCGAATAATGAATCCCTAATTAATGATTCACTTTGCGTAATTAATTCAGCTACGTGATAATATCAACAGAATTGTACAAGTTGCAAGTTATCAGGAATAATGTTTTAATAAAAGTTTGGCGATAAAACGAAGAAAATTATCAATACGTTATAATATAATATAATTATAAACAGACTGCGGATTTATGGAGAACTTGAGAGCACAAAAATGCACAGAATATTTCAAGGCCGATAATATTTCAAGAGCATATGAAATATTCAAAGTATCCTCGTCTCTTAAACGTGAATTTCCACGAAAATCCGCTGTCCAGTTGTCAATTTCGTAACTCAAGAAATTTCATAGGAAAAAAAAAAAGAAAGAAAATTGCAGAAAAGGATAACTCGGCACTTGCCAAGTCTCTGCTAATATTATCAATGCTCAACCATTCAATGTTCAATCATTCTCGCGCTCAATTTCGATATTCTCGTGCCAGCAAAAATACGAAATCGGCGCCTCGCGGGTTTTACGAAGAACACGCGTACTTTCAATATCTCTTCGCGAAGAGGCGTCGAAATCGACTAATGTTACCAACATTCCTACGCAGTGACGTAGATGCTTCAAAACACAGGCAGGTCCTCTTCATCCCGAGGAATCACAATTTTTTTTTCTTTTCTTTTTCTTTTTTTCATGCTCGATACTCTCGTGCCAGCGAAAATAACAGATCGACGTATCGTTTCACCAAGAACACGCGCGCGCACAAAGTGTCAATCCCTCCCGCGAAAGACGAGACGTTACCCGAATATTCGTCGAAGCTGTGACAGTGCAAAAAAGTCGTCGAGATGTGACATTTTGCATCGTCGAGAAATCGCACTGGAGAGAAACGTTCGCTAGGTATTCGAGTTCCAGTCGCCTTCCATTCTCCAAACGCTGAAAGCGTACGAGAGTTTCTCGTGGGCCATGTAACTACACGACGAGGTGGTTATTTCCCTGGCGGCCAGGACAGCGCTCCTTAAATTTCTCTCGCCTGCAAGAAGATTGAAAATCGAGACTGATTAATTCCCTTAGAGAGTGGTTCGTTTCCGGTGTGTAACGCAATTCTAGGCTGTCGAATTTTGAGACTGTGCAACAATTTGGAGTCGCGAGTCACTGGACTAATTGCAAGTTACAAAACACGCGAAACACTGAGTATTGGAACTGACGGAAACTTACGAGTGTAGAAGTTTGGAACTGTAAAAGTTCTCAATCTTAATCTCTTGCGCTAGGAATGACGTAAGTTTTTTGCCCCAAATTGCAACATTTTCTCAGTTTCAAGTACATTTAAATGTAATCCAGAACAAATAATAAGTTCATTAATTCTTAATAATTTCTATCCAGTGATATCGTCCCGGCGAGTTTTCAAAAGAAGAAGAAAGCGACGAATTATCGTATATATCGGTTTCGGTCACTCGTTATGGTCCGCGAACCAGTCGCAAGGGAGTTAAAAACCTGGGATCTCGAGGTTTGGATCTCTGACTAACTAGTCAAGAGAAATTAATTAATTAGATTTTTAGTGATTGAAAGAAATTATTGAAAAATAATCCAAACAAACGTCAGAACGATAGCTGCTAAAAGTTTCAAAGCTTGTCTCTAAAGCAGGTGTGTCGAAAGGAGAAGCGACAAGATGTGACACGAGCGAGTTAACCTCTTGCGTTGAAATGACGTGCCACGCACGTTGAGAATTTTTTGTCCCAAAAGTGCAATATTTCCTCAGTTTTGAGTATATTTAAGTATAACCCAGACAATAACAAATAATAAATTTATTATTATTCTCAATAACTTCTATCCAGTGATATTGTGCCGATACGAGGATCAAAAAAAGAGCGACGAATTATTGTATACGGTTTTGGTCACTCGTTATGGTCCGCAATCAGTGCAAGTGTTTAATTTCAAGCCCGAGACATTCGGGGGAATTCTTTTCAATTTGATTGCAAGTCGAGCTACTTGAGGAACAAGAAAACCTCACACTTTTAGAAACCCCCTAATTTTTAATTAATAAACAGAATTGTAGAATATAGCCCTAATTTTTATTTAATAAGCAGAATTGTAGAAGAGCCCAAATTTGGGATTTTTTTTTTTTTAATTGATTACAAGTCTATCCACTTGATGAACAAGGAAATTTTATCCTGAAATATTAATTCTAGAATAACTCGAAATTTTAGAATCATTCGAATTTTTTTGGAAGTCGAGCCACTCGAGAAACAAAAGAATTTTACTCTTATAAGTCTTTGCCTCTTCCAGCGACCCTAAAATATTAATTTCAGAATTATAACCCAAATTGTTTTCTTCTCAAAAGCCATCGCAATGATCTAAACTGCAAACGACACTTCAGAATAGTCCAAACATTTTTCAAAAGTACTCTAACCTCGGGGTCGAGCGCGACTAACCTAAGTAACAAATAAGAGATAAATGTTGCTTCTATTGAAACACAAGTAGCAGGGGCTTCACGCGAACGTTTTCATTCCCTGTTTGCTCGCAGTATCAGTCTGTAAAGAGAAATTGTTTGGCCGGCGACAAACCAAGTCCGGTAGAAAAAGATGTTTACCTGAAACGGTGGGGCTGTAGAGATGATGACACGGTTGCTTAACGTGGTCTCTGACATTCGAATCATGAGGCCACCTCTTCACGGGGGTCTGTATAATGTGGACCACTTTAAACAAACGCGAGCCAGTTTCTATAAACACGTGCTACTTGACTGGGAGGTGCCGACGGAGACGTTATACTACTTGCTATCAAGCATTGCTGCTTCAGCATCGAGACTCGTGCTTAGGCGCGTGTAATACGCGTCCTATTTATCTGGATATGAAGGCGATTTTGTACGAAAATCGAAGCATCTATATAGGCTACGCTCGTTCAAAGAAGAATTATATTAATCTTTGTGACTGTATCATTGGATTGTAACAATTTACTTTAAAATTAATAATTAAACTTGGTCGTCTAATTTTAGATTAGTGATCTCTATTGATTCAATAAGGTATATTGTATATGCATTAATATTTCCTCTCAAAGTTAATGAAGTTGATTTGCTTCAACAACCAAATTTATACGTCAATATTGAAATTTCAGATTCAGAGAAGAGACACCATTTCAAACGTTACAGATCTAAACAAGTTAACACCAGAAAGAGCCCCAGAAAAAAAAAAAGGAAAGATAAATAAAAAAAAAAAAAGAAAATTACAGCCAAGAACCTTTCAGCAAAGCTACCGAACACTCACCAAGGTCCTCGGTGTCGGTGTTCTCTACGTTGCAGTGCAACACCTGGAACAGGAAGTCGATGTACCTGGTGGCAAGCTTCAGCGTCTGAATCTTGCTCAACTTGTCACTGGGCATCGTCGGTATGATCTTTCTGAGGGCGGCGAACGCCTCGTTCAAACTCTGAGTCCTCTGTCTCTCCCTCACGTTAGCCATCACCCTCTGGTTCTGTATCTCCTCGAACGTCGCCCCGCTTCTTCTCCTAACCTTGCTCCTCGTCGATGAAGCGTTGCTCTCCGTCTCGGACTCGGGCTCGATGCTGCTCGACTTTCTCTTCCTCTTCACGCAGCCTCCCCTGGACTGCTCCGTCCCGTAGCTCGTTGTCGAGGAGGACGGTTCCGTGATCTGCGCCATCTCCATCTGCTGCTTGTACCTCTGCTGTTCCTCCATGTCGGGCTTGTACTCCATCACATCTGGCTTGTACTCGACCGGCTCCACGTGGTGGTAACCTTGCTGTGGCTGCTGTCTGGGCTCCTCGCTCCCGGAGGAGTACATCTGAGGCGACGGTGTCAGGTACATGCCCTGCTCGTGATCCCTGCTGTGGTCCGAAAGAAATCCCGGGGAATTGTCGTGGGGACGTGTGTCATACTCGGTCTGAAGCTCTCTGAGAATTTTCCCGTTCGGATGATGTTCCTGGTACCTCCTCTCCTCGCCGGCGTTCTCGTACATCAAGTAATTCTGCTCCTGGTACAGCGTCTGGTGATGATGATGATGATGGACATGATGGTGATTCTGGTATCCGGACAGGTCTCTGTGCTGCGGCGGGCTGCTTAGGTCCATCAGACGCGTCGGTGGCGAGAATCTGCCATAGTGATTCGGCGAGTTGCTGGCTGAACTGCCAGTGCTGTGTGGAAGTCCAGCGCTGGTGTCGTTGTTCAGAAGGTAATACCCCTGGATCCGCTTCGCCTGGAGGCTCACCGGTGGCTGCGTGCTCTGCATGTTTCGAACTTCACTTTCCTCCGAGGTTCGGTCAAGTGCTTCGATCACACTGACGATCGGGCATCTTTCGGGCGACACTCGGTGCGCAGTTTAACTCAATCGTCAACTAAACACGGCGGTGCTTCTGATCGAAATTCATGGACGATCTGTGGACCACGAGAAACTTGGATTGTTACCGTGAATCTATCATAAAAGGCTAGTGTTGCACTTATGTTAGTTACTGTGTTTAAGAACGAAGACACCGGTTCGAATGTTAAGACTCGTCTGAAGGAACCGACCCTCGGGATTGCCCCTACTCGACAGACCGGGAAGAACCCCGCCTCCGACGGTGGAACCCCTACTCTCTGACTCGCGCTACTCCCCTACCTGGCCCCTCTCTCTCGTTCTGCCGCGGTTTCTTTTATCCGTCAGGTCTGTTAGTTAGTCCCCACCCACGAAATACTGTCGTTGGGAACAAGAAGACAGAAAAGAGGGGTTCCGGAGGTTGGAGAACGCGCGATCCTCCAAGCTCTATAGCCACTGTCAAAGAGGTAGAAGAGAAACTCGCGGCAGGGAGGAGGTGAAAGTGGAATTTAATCTATACCATTTTCGCCATTTAATAATTATTATCACTTTCCTTCTCTCTTCATCTTGAAACGAAAAGCCGATTCCTTTTTACTTCTTTATTATTCTTGCGTCGCTCCGCGAAAGTTCTCTCTTTGGAGAGAGTAATGCAGCTGTGTATTTGCGAGATGTGTTACTCTCGCACAGTGTGTGTTGTTTCATCCGAGTATTTGGCTTTCGGTGCCTTCCTTGTTGACGGAGATTTTATAGAGTTTTACGCGGAATGATTGATGATCTTTCCCTCCGTTGGCTTCGTTGATCTTGATCCGCAAGAGTGAAGAGAAAGAGAAAGCTCGAGAGGCTCGAGGTTGGACGAGATAGATGGCCGCGCGCGAGTAAGAGAGTGAGGTATGACGGAGCAGGATGGAACGCTTGAGGGACGACCCATGTTGAATATTTATATCGCGAGGAGCCAGTGAGAATAAAGCGAGGGACTAGCTAGGAACACACGGCTCCGATATGCGTAACTTTGCATTCGCTTGCCACGAAATGGCGCGAAAGCGCGCTATTCCTCCCACGCTTTTGTTGCTTCTTTTTTCTTTTTTTTTTTTTTCTAAATACGAATCTTCTTTCAAATTTGTCCGCGACAAACGTGACAAATGGCTCAATTTCCTAAAAATTTTACTCCAATAATTTCGCATATTATTGATCACCCTGATTCCAAAATACCGATTTTACCTCATTCACTGCTTCAACTTTACACTTCTACGACGTAACCATACACACACACACACACACACACACACACACACACACATAATCTTGATGTCGTGAAAATAAATCGTTCGAAGCAACAAAAGTGCAAATCAACAAGGCATTAGGCATCGCCAGAAGGCGCGCAGACAGACTGCGAATGTTCCTCCGTTTTCGCGGAGTTGGAATTAACGCACGGGGCGCGGGAACGATTGAAAATCACGCGAGAGAAGCAAGTGGAGATCCAACGCGTTCAACGGTGGCTCATCAGGTGATGGATGACCAAGCTGGATTGCTGGAACGTGTTTGTTGTGACGGACGAAAGCTCTTTTGAAGGTGTCTATAAATTCCGTGGCTCGAGCTTTCACGGTATTCCTACTCGGCCCAGTGATTTAACCATTCCTTCCCTCCCTCATTCAGTCACGTCTGCGTAGAATTCTTCCTTAATACGAAAAGACGAGTGTAAACTCGTTTCAAACAGTTTGCCGTATCGATCTAGTTGCATTAAGTTGGTTCGTTTCTTCAAAGTTAGAAAACCAGCGTGTCGTTTGCCTCCTTCGAATCGTAAGAACGGCAATGAGTGTGATTTCATCAACTCATCGTCGTTGAATAAGAAACTCGATCATCAGGATCTTCAGGATGAAACGTGAGCATTTATGTTAGTTTCGTAGGACACGTTGCACTTGTCAGCTTCTTCCTTTCGTTAAAATCATCCGCAACGCGCGACAAAAACTCTCACTTCCATAACGGATGATTCTCCTTTTCTCACCTCGCGTAATTTCAAGGAGGCACGTTAGAAATTCTCGCCGCGTCGTTGTTAATAGGCGACGATCCAAGGTGAAAACTCTCCGAGAGATTTTCCAACGTTTGAGAGAGAGCCCCGAGAGGGCAAGAGATGGTTCGTCGTCGACGTTTGGAAACGTTTATCGAAAGTGAAGACATTAGCGTGGCTTCATCTTCTCGGAAGCGAGACGACCGAGCAGAAAATCCCGCGTCCTGGCTGGCGGCCAACTGAAAATCAGATCGCCAATAAAGAGGCCGATAAATAACGTGGCCAAACACCAAAATAATACTCGATGCTGATCAAAGTCGAATAACTCGCCGCTTCTCTCCCTCTCGTCTTCCGCTCCTCGATGCCGAAAATCACGAACGATGATGTTGTACGTTCATTCTCCTCTTGTACATCCACCTGATTTTTCGATACTCGCGTAGTCCAAGTTATTGTACGTTGTCTTCGTTGTTCGTGCTCTCTTCCTCTTCGCCTCTAAAATTCAAAAAAACGAAGAAGAAAATGATAAATTCCTCGCCTCTTGTCGCTCTTATCGTTCTTACGTGTAAGATTTGTAAACTTTAACTTTCAGAACGTGGGACGAAATTAAATTGGGCGTTGCTATTCAGGTCCTCCACCCCGAGAGTACAAGGGGGTTGTACACGTGCGCGCGTTCCTGCCGCATGCACCGTTTCACGATATTAACGCGGGCTTAATTGCGCGTACTGGGTCGCGTTTAATCGGCGCACATGCGTGTGTGTGAGTGTGTGCGTGTGCCTCGTCGCGCACCGTTGCAGGTTAAGAGCCCTCGGAGCCTCCCTTTTTCTGCCAGCGTCTAACAGTTTATGGTTCTCTTCCTCCTCTTCCTCCTCCACCGCTCCCTCGTCCTTCCTTATTCATCAAAACAACGAAAACAAATTGATTTATGCTCCTTGTCACTTCCTTCCTTCCTTCCTTCCTTCCTTCCTTCCTTCCCACCCGGAAAGCAGATTACGCTCTTTCAAATTCCAACGTTAAACTATGCTTCTCGTACTTGGAAATGCTGCTGTTCAAGATGCTGCAACGACAGGCTCTTCTTTATTTTTCTTTGATTTATCATGCTTGTTGCCCGCAACACTGGAATTGAAAAGAAAAAAGAATTACAATTAACAAGTTGATCATGGCGTCAAGTGGATTTCTAATTTATTATTTGTTAGTCGCGAGGGGAATTCGTCTAAGGGAAACGTTACGATTGTTAACAAATACTAAAGGAAAGAGGATTCCGAGATATTAAAAATTCTATACCACTTTTAATTATTTACTTACTACAGAATCTTTGTCTCTGATATCTTGTAAAATTTTTTAGATCACACAAAAGGCAGTTATCGTTGATTAAATTGAAAAATACCGGTAGAAGATGATCTATAAGATGACTCCCGTTCACAACGGTGGTGTTCAAAAATATCGTCGCGTGAAGACAATATTCTGTTCCAGGTGAACGGACATATTTTTCAACCTACCTGTTGTTGAACAATTTGTTTAGAGGCAAGGGGGCCGCTCAGTAATTCCTCGAAGGCAGTGCGCTGTCACAGTAAATCCGATTCGATGGGGATTTATGGACACTATTCTGTTTACAACGTTAAAGCCGTGAAGGTGATTCGGTGTTTCAGATTGAATTCAGCCACCAGTAAAACAATTAGCACTAGCGTGGTGCACGTACCTTCGAGCAAGCCTCTCCCTAGAGGGACATAAAAGGACACCGGACAATTTATAGTGGGAAAAACCCAGGATTTTCCCGAGGAATTACCCTCTCCCTTTCTAAAAGATGGGAAAAACCCAGAATTTCCCCGAGAAATTTCCCTCTCTCCATGGAAAAGATGGATTCGTTCACAATGCAACGTGCACGAACGAAATCGAAATCGAGGACAGATCATTCACTTCGTAGATCATAATTTCTCGACGTTGGTATAACGTAATCTATAAAAAAAAAAACATAGATATAAATACAATAATAAATTGATGAAATAATATTATAAATAAAAATATTGATAACTGATTGAGATATTAATAAAAAAAGATACCTACGAAGGATATTTTAAATATTTTTCAATGTCATTCTGACTGAAAAATTTTTCGATTTTATGAATCTTCATAAAGTGATATCAAGGAAACTCTTTTCGTTCGATGGGATTGTTGTCCACTTGCGTGGTTACAATTTTCAGGATGATTTATGGTCTCTAAAGGAGAACAGGTACAAAATGGTGGTTCATGTATCGTTGCGTCGACCATGCTGAATTTGTATTTACAAGCTCGATGGTAACACGAAACATGTGTTGGACAATCCATCGAAAATAGTTCTCGTTGCAGGGAAGATGGTGAAAGTCTCCATGCAACATCTGTGACCTTGAACTTTTCCCATGACGAGAAGGTATGGAGCAATGTATCATCATTAAATTGAATCTTCTTAAAAAGAAAGCGTCAATTAGAAAAATTTTATTCTACGTTTTTGATTTTCAGGTGTAGGATATACTTGCAGACACATGTCACAGATTATGACTGTATACTTACCAATTGTTGCATACTTGTATGTATCTATACTTTTGTTCTTGTCCTTTTGTGAAAAGTGTGACTATGAACAATGAAAATGTCAATAATTGTCAATAACTTGGTAAAGAAAAAATCATATAGTGATCCACTTACTGGATCTCATTTTAAAGCGTGAAGCTTCTACTCATTAGTTCTTAAAGCTCTTAATTATTTTCAAAGATGCGAATGGTCAATGTACAATAGAAAAACGAGGATACTTCTTTCTCGAAAGTTCTAAAAAGAAATTCAGACGTGTGTGAAAGTATAAAAAAATGTTTCTCGTAACCAGATTCATCGTCATTTTGAAGATCGGACTCTCTCCTTTACAATGACTCCTTGTATGACTCTTTTTCATCATTTTATTGAACGTTGATTAAACGAATATTAGAAGAACGTCGTCACCTTTCGTAACCTTAATTTTCCACGTTCAATAATAAAATAGTGAAAAAAAGTACAACGAATATTAAGGCTTCGTGAAGAGAAAATTTCAATCTTCAAGATCTTAATCATGCTGGATTTAATCACGATGAAATTTTTTGAATGTCCCCTCCATTACATGATGTAAAATCGTTTTAAAAAAAAAAAAAAAAAAAAAAAATGAACCCACAACTGTTTGCCTAAAAATCCATATTCTATTACTGAAAGGAAGAAACAGTTTGATCAATACTGTTTGCTCTCCCGTGTTACACAACTGTTTAGTTAATAATAAACCAAAGGTACAATTTAAATTTAAAATAAAAAAATAATATTTTCGAAAATAATATTAAACGAAAATGACAAATAATAAAAGCAAAAAGGTGAAATTAATAAGACAATTATCAACAAATTAAAATAAATAACACATACATTCGAGTAATCAATCCGACAAGATGAAATAATTAATAAAAGGAAAATCTGATGTGATAATTTGCTTCTGGAAAAATGAAATTTCTGTCACAAGTATGTGTACATAGTACGTACAAAACTCTCCGAGAGTTTTAATACAGCCTCAAAATCGATCTCCATTTTATTCAAGAGAGATTCCACAGTGACATAGACTCCATAGTAAAACCAAGTAACTGAAGGCAACTTCTCAGATTTATGCAGTTTTCGTGTCCGAAAAATATGCAACTTTTGCCTCTGGGGCTCCTCCGGGATAATGGTGCCGTATGTTCGACACATGGCGAAGACGACGGCACCGGTGCAAGTGCAAACATTGTAGAAACTATCTGTCGACGCGGATCGTAAAGGCAGCGTTTATAATGCGCACGGCCTAACTCAGGGACACTCTGTGAACAGCACGTCGGCAATAACGTCAGCCGAGAAAAGCCATTGAAGATATTTCCAATGTATCCACTTGTGGATATTTCAAGTTTACGGGCCGAAAATCGGCCGAGCGCCTCACATCCTGTTCGCAGATCAGGAGATCCTCTCCTTCTCGAGAAGAGTTCGTCGTGTCCATCGTTCGTTGCGGTTCACCTCTTCAACGTTACTTGCTTTAACTGCTTCCGTACAGGATTTACTGCAACATGAACGTGCGGTTAGACAATTGTCGATGCTCAAGATGTTCTTTGGTTATTTCAAAATATTTCTCAAGACCTTCAACTTCCTTCGTTGACTTTCTACATGAATTTTTTCTGCACTTGTTTCGGCTTGCTGACGAAAATCAAATAACCATGAATTTTCACAATTTAACATCTGTAATCAAAATTAACAATTACACGAGTATCGTTTCATCGCTTGAATCGTTCCATTTATTACGTGAATGACCCAAAACTTTGATAGAAAATTATTTGGCAATGTTATTTGAAAAAGGGGACTTAGAAGATTGTAAGGGTAAATCTCGGATGAAGTGAAAAGATCGCTAATCAGTGAAAGTCACAGAGTAATTCAGACGAGCAAACTAGAAAAACATTTGCATTGAAAACAAGTGGATTGTCGACTTTTTTCGACGACTCAACTTGCCCGCTAACCGACACGTTTACATTTATTTATTTTTTAAAAGTCATTATCTCACGATCTCATAAAAGATACTTTTTCTACTGTTGAAAATTTAACGTAATCAAAATAATTGAAGATACAGAAAAATGTAAAATCTACGATAAATGGAAAGTGACAGAAAATCAAAAACTTTTCGTTATTGAAGGAAATGTCTTAATTCTAACCCTCGAATAATGTTTTTGAGTCACAGATGAATGATACACGTAAAAGGGTTAATTTGATTCTTACAACGGCTCTAAAATAATTTCCGGTCAACGGTGAGGGAACATGAAAGGTAAAACGACAGGAGTACACCATTGACACTCGTGTTAAAGTCAAGAGGGTCAGCATTGTGAGAGGCACTTGTCGCCATTCAAGAGAATCATGAAGATCATTCGAATTTTTCGTCTCTCGTGCTCCTGGTTTCCCTCCCATTCAAAAGAACTGTTTACTCTCTTCCATTCTGACGAAAATTTGAAGTATCTTCAGATACTCGAAACAATTTCCAAACTATAGTACACGTAGATATTTTTATTTAGAAAACTATTCGTGAATTACTTATATAGAATCGCTGTGTATCTCTTACATTTTTGTTTGTGACGATTTTTTCAATCACTTTCAAAATTCATTCATAGTCTCAGCGAGCAAGAGTTTTCACTTCAATGAAATTAATTTATTTTTCATGTACGTTTCAGCAAATCTTTAAAATCACCTGTAGATCAAAATTAAGACAGATATTAATACACTGAATTAAGCAATATTTTCGAAATAGTTCTTCATTTTAATTTCATTTATTATTTTCATCATGTGCTTCTCCAGGATTGTGGAGCTATCCTACGGACGGTTGATATTTTTCTTTCTTACATGGGTCTGTTTCTTTTTGAAAAGCGACTGCTCCTTCTACCTGTCTGCACTGAACGATCCAGCATCACTGACCTCTCTGCAAATTCTGGTGAACACATGTCAGGACTTCTACCAGTTGTACAAGACAAAATACAGAAATTTGGCGGACACGTGGTGATCATACACTTTTAATGAGATTCCGGTCACGTTGCTTATCTGTTGTTCCTCACTTGTTGCTCCAACATGCCAGAAAATCTGGAAGTGATGCCGAGACCTTGCGTGAAGATTTCTTGAACAAACAGCAATTTGAATAAAATTATAATAAATATGATTCTGAACGTGATAACAAGATTATTCAAATGAATGTAATTATTCGAATTGGAACTTACAAATTAAACAATGATCCTAAGGTTGTATCGAAATGTTTTCTGAACAGATAAATTCTAGAATTTAAATACTGAGAATGTCTAACACAATCTGAGAACATTCAACCAGATATATTGTAAACTGCTGTTTTCGCTATTTATTAATATTTATCTGCTACAAACAAAAAAAGCACTCAACACAAAGAGGAGTTGATTTTTAATTAACATTCAATTTTATCGTTGTTTTTATGTAATTCTAAATTAATTAATAAACATTTCAAGTTCTACAATTGCTAATTATTAATATTCTTGAACTTTCAAATTCAAAATTCAATTCTTCGCCACTAAAGAAATAGGAAACATCTGTTTAAGAGTGTACAAAGTTCATTGTACGAAGATTGTAAATAAAAGATCCCAAATACTATGGATCATCCCTTGAGCTTGACAGGGGCTTTGAAGGTGCTAATTTTCGTCACTGTGATTATTAAAATGTACACGGTACTAGTAGTCGACTGGAGGATTATGATGAGAAATGTTGGGGAAAACCCAGAGTATTCGAATTTTTCGAAAATTGTGGGGAAAACCCAGATAACTTAATTTTTCGAGAATTTCCATTTCCAATGAAGCCTTCAGTACTCCGGTGAATGCAGAATTACGACAGGAAAGCTGATGATGAAATAATATTAATAATAGCAATAAATTTTTATTTCCAATAAAATTATTTAAGAATCTAATAAAATTACGTTGATTATCAATTAACTTTAAATCGTATTTTATTTAAAATTGGAAGGAGATGTTAATCAAAGAATTAACGACAAATTCAACTGACACGATCAACAACAAAGAATTAACAAAAGATCCATCGGTAAATTATTACATGAAATATATTAATGTTCCGTAATATTACTAACTCTTCAATTTTACATCTCTTTTTGTTTCTAAAACTATCCTAATTTTGTTTCTAAAACTATCAGTAAGTATTGAGATGTTGATATTTATCGTTAGTTCTTTAATTGATAATAATTTTACATTTCAAATTCGATTTCTGGAGCCTGTTAATAACTCAAATAATATTAATTATGATATTATTATTATACATTATTATTTTAATAATGTATCAGTAAGAATTACTAATTAAAACACTACTAATTATTAACAGATATATTGCAGGAATTTTTTCTTTATTCTCAATAAATTGTCATCTTATTTATTTATACTGTATTATTAATACTCTCTAAAGTTAATCACTACCGTATAAAATTTCCTATATTAATATTCCAAGAATTGTTAACGAGCCAGAATAAAATATATACACAAAATAACAATTCAATGGACTGTCTATCCATCGAATCTTGAATCCTTCAATGATCTAACGTTCGATTCTAATCGAATTTGTTGCGAAGGAAGGTGCCGAATATAATGACCAGCTGGTACTGGGAAAATACGTCTTGACCGTACTTTTGGATTACAGAGGCTAATAAAACAATACAAAGTTTTCGTAATACTGGAAGAATTCTCTAAAATTGACCATGGGCACACAGGTAGTTAAGTGGATTTATTGCTGGTTTTCCCCACAAAATTTTAAAGGTCTTCCACGTTCCATTTCTATGTACATTCAATCATTCTGTACAGATGATGCTTCAACGTTCGCAACGTCTTTAGACCATGTTTTCTTTCTTTCTTGACGAACCTGCACGAACAAAAAGAGAGAGAGAGAGAGAGAGAGAGAGAGAGATAGATATGAAAAATCAGTTCAATCGACGAGAGATTACAATTTTTTTTTACAATATGCAAATGAAAGTGGAATCGTTACTTTCGCAATATTGGTTCGGGAAGACAATAAGTAGCGTGTTGTTATGGTAGTCGCGACGACGACGATCAGGGTGGTCCTCTCTCACGGTTAGAGGAACCGCGTTCTGGAACTGATGTATACACGGTACACACGGGTCGTCAACGGCGGCCGTCGACGTCGCGGACGCCGCCAGAAAGAAAGTCGACCTGAAAATCAAACAAACAGCCGACGACGCGGCGTTTCTGCACTTCCGTCGTCGCCATTTGTTTATTGTCGCTGAGGGATCACTGTACCGAGTCGGCTGTGCAACCGGTGTAAACGCATCGTTTCACACATTATGCAATCCTTTTACATATCAGTCGCAACCAGGATCATCGACTGATCGCGCACAGTTGTCTAATCACTTCTCAGTCAATATAATCGTCTCGGTCACACAATCATTAATTTGAGAAGAATGCGAATGATCTAACATTGTCAACGTAAGCGTATCTTCATCTGCCAGAGTTCTGACGAATGACATACGAAATTGTAACCTTGTTATCACCGATACTTTATCATTTACACGGGGCCAACTGTTGTCTGACGTTTTGCTCTTTCAAACCCTGTAACGTAATTCCATTTTAGTGCAAAGATACAAAGAGACAAGAGAGAAGTAATTTTTCTTACCGATCTTCTATTTTGATCTTCATCTGTAACAACAGAGTGAGAGTAGCTGAATCGCGTCCACATTTTCGTCCAATTTTTGAAGCTGAGACGACGTCGTGGAGATCGAACTTAAAAAAAAAAAAAAAAAAAAAAAATAGAGAGAGAAAGCGAAAAATACGTTTAATAACCCTTTGAGGCGAGACAGCATCTGGAGAATTAGCGAGTTCGAGTTTCAATGTTCGACGGCGGCCAATGTCGTGCGACGAAGGGCGCACTTTTTCCCAATGGATAAAATCCAAAGGGGACATGTGTTCGCCAGACGATGTCTCCCTCAAGGTGCATGGGAATGAATTACGTTTCATTAAGTCCGTCGTCTTACAAGGGCGTAAAGAATCGACGTTACACAATTTCTTCTCTGCAACCTCCTCCTCTCTCCTCCTTTCTCGTCGGTTCTTTTCAAAAATCGTCGTCTTCTTTGAATTCTTTCGCCGGTATTATCTTTGTGAAGACTTGTACAATTCAAATCGAATCTTTCTAACTCTCGTTTGATACACGCCAAGATGCACGAAGGAGGGGAAAGAAACACGTGACATATCTTCCTCCATTGTTGTATTAATAAGTATGATATCATTGGTTTTTCATCCTTTCATCTATGAATGAGTAAATGACTTGATCAATCTGTGAAATTTTAGTCTATTAAATATTAAATATTACGTTAATATATACATTATACATAATAATATTATGTATGTTAATATACACATTACACATTATAGTATTATGTATGTTAATATACACATTATACATTATAATATTATGTATGTTAATATATATATATATATAAGTATGAGTATAACACAGCTTTATAATATTTATGATAAGGGCTAAATTTCAACGTAAAAAGTAACATCTAAACTTATATAAATTTGTTACGTGAAGAAATTTTAGAAAATTTGACACCTATACATAGAGTATGTATCAGAGTTTCATTATCTATTAAATACAGATTGTATCAAATTTTGTAATGATATTCTACTTGGAGATTGTGAAGAATTGATAAAACAAATAGGATTTTATATACTCCACGTATTACCTTATGCTCTTTTGTTTGAAATAATATTTGTGTTCTTTCAGGCGCCGATGTAGCTTATTTATCTAGTTTCAATAAAGTGGGCAACTTAAAAACTAGACAAGCCTGTTAAACTGATTCTTCTGAGACTCTTGGCAAATATTGAACACTTTTGAAAATCTGTGCTGGTTTACTAAAATGTATCACCACCAGGGTAAAAAATTTTTACCAAAATTTCTTCAACAATTGTTTGCATCGCGCGAGAAGAATAACTGAAATCTTACGGGAAGAATCTATTGAAGAACATTTTTAACACAGACAAGTATTCTTAATGGAGAATATTTCTTTCACCTGTTAAATAAGTATAAATCTAATTTTCAACATAGTTGTTTCCTTACCGAGAAAACGGATAGTCGTTGGCTAGACAAATTGATGAAAACAGTTGCGTCTGATAGTCACATCTGTTCCCGGATTATGAGCACGATAAATTTCAGCCTGCAAAGCTAACAGCCGGGATTAGCGAGCGTTGTCGCGGTGTCAACGAGCTGCTTTCATCTTCTGTCTTGTTATTTGCGAATCACCACCTTTCAGAAACTGATCCACCGCATTTATTACTTTACTTCATTATAATATCTTCTTCGCAGAAAAATTCGACTGAAAAACCCCTGTCGAATCATCTTATTCGTTTTGGTGTGATTTTCAAGCATTTTTTCTGACAATTTTACTTCTCTCGTTTGTTTTAAACTTCATCTCGCAGATTTACCTTGAGAGAAAAAGAATATTTTCTCGGGGAATGTAACGTAACAGAGAGACCGGAAGTGAAAGAAAACAGCGGGTGCTGTTCGCAAACAATGATGCAGCTTGACAGAAGACCCTCTTATTGTTTTCTGCCACGCACATGCACGAATTCTGTACGCATTTCAGAAATGCCTACTTCAAACACACGTGTTCGCCATCAGGTTGCTCAAGTGGTTGCTCGCTTGACCTTTGCTTTTCTGCTCTCTGAACCCCTTCTGAACCTCGCGATCAATTCTTGTACGATACTCTTCTTCCAAAGATCTAGAGATCGAGTTTTCCTTTTTTATTTTTTTTTTTTTAATGAATTCTCAATGTTTAATTAATTTAACAAAAATTTTAAAATTCATTTTCGCAACTGAAAATTCTGAACAACGGTTCGACTGTTGTTACTCTAATAATTTAAGATTGTTACTGATAATAAATAATCAATTTTTGTCAATCTTCTTTTAAAAAACGGCGAATTCGTCGAATTATATCTTGGTTTTCTGGAACGACAATATTGACTTGTTTCTGATTTCAATTATTTTCACAGGCTGTCGAAATGCTTGGAAATTCTCTTCATGTCAGATACGACCACTATGGTGTCTGGATTGAATTTCTCAAATCAACGTCTCCGAGGGGGTATTAGACCCACGTGAATATCGTCGAGTCCCCGATGTGAATTGGGGGAAAAAAAAGGGCCTCACGGATCGTCGTGGCCTGGATGGGCCTCTGAATTCCTCAGTGGGGGTCCCCACGTCTTTCATTTTCTCTTTTCCTTCCCAACCTCGGAGGATCCCCCCCCCCATTGTCGTTTCTCCCCCCCGACACACTCCTTTAATTTTCTCAAGAACAAACACCAGAGATTTACAAAATCTAAAAAAATAGACTGAAGATTCAGAAATGCTTGCACAAATTAACATAAATTAACAGCGAAAGTCAAACAACAGTCAAATTAATAATAGCGAAAGTATCTAACGTCTGATATTTTCTCAAACTAAACTAAAAGACAAAGTCAATACCTCGAGAGTGAAAAGACTGAAGAGAAGTCAGAGGTTTAACACAGTAGCCGCAAGTTTAGAAAAAAGAAAAAAAAAAAAAGAAAAAAGAATGGAAAGAACTAAGAGAAAAAAATGTTGAAAGTTGAAACTAATGATGGAGTCGAACCTACTAATTGCCACGGAAATTTTCGCAGGGTCTGGTGAATTCGTCTCAGGAGGACCAGCGGCACCGGTTCGAGGTCGGAGGTCGAGAATCCAAATGATCCTAGTTCTCGGAAGGAGTGGGCCATCAGGACACGCGACACTTCCCGATTCGGAGGAAGCGTGCCCTTTCTTATTTTTTCTCCTCTCGCATGGAACCCCCGCCGGTTACTATACGGGTCTTAGCCGGAATCTTCTCGACGAAAGATTCATCGTTGCTGTTTCAGCGGGCTGCTACACGCTACCAACTGATGCAATTTGTAAATTTCTGGTAAACCAGTCTCCAGGGATGAACTTCACAAATAAAATCGAACGCGGGGAAAGAAAAAGGATCAACGAACGTAGTTCACGTGCAGATTGCACGAAGAGACATTAATGAACGTAGTTTTAAAAAATATTCAGTTTTAACAAAATGTCGAGACAAAATGTCACACGGTCGCGGCCGAAGTGGTTTTCTTTTGTCCCAGAATTGCAACATTTTCTCAGTTTTAAGTCTATTTAAGTATAACCCAAGTAAAACAAGTAATAAATTTGTTACTTTTCAATAATTTCTATCCAATAAAGTGATATCATACCGGCGAGCTGAAAAAGAAAGCGACGAATTATTTTTTATACGGTTTGGTCGCTCGTTACGGTCCGCAATCAGTTGCCAGCGCAAGTGATTAAGGCAGCAGAGCGAGCTGTAACGCGTGTACTAGGAAAATATAAAATGATGCAGCAAGGGAGATAAAGATGAATGAAAACTGACTGTCTACAATTGACTTGAGAGTACTTAACAAACGATATATTATGAAACACGAATAAAAAATATAAGACAAGGAGAAAAACCGAGGGAAGATGGCTAACGCCATTTTATTTGGCACTTTAGCGGGTCTTAAACCAGTTGTGAAAGAAGAAGTTCCATCTGAACAGGTATCTCCATCTCCTATTGGAGAATCGAGAACAGGTAAAAGGCAGGTGAGTCCCACCTAACTGTAATGGAGTCACCGATACAAAATGAATCCTCCTCAGGAAGAAGAGATCGTTCTTCCCTGTCAATTTTTGCTAATCGTCAATTTTTACTAAACTGTTTGATATTTCATTAAGTTGTCTGGTCATTTGTGATGACTGTTTCAGTGAAAAAACATTGCAAATGTTCAGTATTAGAGACAGCATAAATTAATACGAGATTGGTGGAAGCTGGAAGTGGTTTTTTTCATACTGAAAGCTGGAAATATGTGTACGATATTTGTGGCCAGGTGTGACAGACGTCCGCACTTGCATCCGTGACGGTGCATCACGTCATGGACACGGCCGGCTGCAACGTTTCGTCGAGACAGCTGTTGTCTAATGTCGTCCCAACTCGGTGTCAGACGTGATACTGTGAAATTCAGCCAACTCCATCGCATCAGGTCAGAACTAGCTGTAGCCTTGCCGCTATATGTTATAGTTAGCTCCTTTCTATAAAACTATTCTCTTATTCGTTTGCCTACTCGTCCTCAGTCTCCGCACACTCTTCTTTTCGAGTGGAACTACAGAACAATAGGTTTCTTCTTCCTTCCAAGTCCTTCCCATACATTTTCCTAAAAAATTTCTCTATCGAACTCTCGAATGCCTCCTCTTTAAATTTACTTTTGTCTAATTTCTCCTTCTTGCAGGATATTTTCCCAAGTCTTTTGTACATTTATATTTATTTTCCAACCTCTTCTTCCTTCGATGTATCCCAAAAGCCCAAGTTCGGCTCCAAATCCCTCGTTTCTCAGCTTCCCTTCGACCTTCCATTTTCTAACCTCGAATAATAATTGGCGTGTCACGCTCGCGGTCACCGTCGCGTTCGACTGCAGCCACGATAATAAATGCACCGTGCCACGAACGTGTAACGAGAGACGAGTCCTCCTCTTTTTTTTTTTTTTTTTTTTTTCTTTCTCCTCTTCTTTTTCCCCTCCGTGATGCCAGTCCGTGCCGCTGGCTTTGAAATTGGCACGCGGGATGATTTTAGCTATTCGAAGCCTGGGGGGGACGGAAGAGGAGGCGCGTCGCGTTCGACCCGCTGGCGCCAAAAGCGACAAAAACTTTTCATAATCGGCCGTGTCTCCCTTCTTTCTTTCCTTTCCGATCCCGACGACTCAACGTCGTAGACTAGAAAATCCTGCAATCGTCGTCCGACTTTTTTAATCTTTCTCTGCTTCGTCGTGCTTTCGTGCCTGACGAAACTGTTTGAACCATTGATTAACCGATTGGCGGACCATAACGAGTGACCGAACCGTATATACAATAATTCGTCGCTTTCTACTTCTTTTGAACTCGTCGGTACGATATCATTGGATAGAAATTGTTAAGAAGTAATAAATTTATTATTTGTTTTACTTTTTACTTAAATATATTTGAAACTGAGGAAATGTTGCAATTTGCGACAAAAAAAATCCCAACGTGCGTGGCACGGCATTCTACTAGCGCAAGAAGTTAATATTATTCAGAGGCATCAGAGAAGTGTGAAGTCTTTTAATATTGTATCAATTGTCTTCTTTGTGCAGTTTATTCTGTATATATATTTTTTTTTATCTATTTTATCTATTTTTTTTTATCTACATATCTTTCTTCTTTTACGTATTTCATGG